AAAAACACTAAGGTTATAAATCTAAGTATTCAATCAACATATTTATAAAAATCAAAACACTAATCATCAGTAACAAACCAATATAAATATTTACATAAAATATAATAATCAAATGACAGATTTTTTACTTTACTTTTAAAGCCAATAGAAATTATTTTTTATCAAATAGCATAACTAAATTATAAGTATGGTTTGTTATATCACACAGATTAAGCACAATTATTATATATTCTTAATATTGATAAAATGAATAAAAGCACAAAGGTTATAAATGTAAGTATTGAAAATCAACATATTTATAAAATTTGAATAATCAATCATCAGCAACAAACCATATAATATAATAATCAAATCATAGATTTTGTTATTTTACTTTTAAATAGAAATGTTTTTTTATCAGATATCTTAACTAAATTATACATACAGTTTTTAAATCACTCAGATTAACTATTGAAGCACAATTATTATGTATTCTAAATATTAATAAAATATATCAATGTAATATTTTCATATTACATTTTATAAAAAAATGTTTTTTAATCATATTTTTACAATTAACGAGAAATTGCTTATTATAAAAACATACTTTAACTAAAGGATATGGTTCAAAAGCGGTAGTCGGTTTCCGGCAGGAACGAAATATATATAATTTGAAAGTTTGTATAACATGAATAGATACTTTGATTTTTTTATTCATTACCGATTACTTTAAAATAGTGTTTAATAATTAAACAATTCTGTAAGTATGACGTCAACTCAATCACTATGGCAAAAGTCAATCAGTCCAGTCATGGATTATTATCAGAATTATTATCACTGCTTTTGTTACACATTGAACATATAATATATTTGATGCTTGGCAACAAAAATAGACAAATAAACTTGCCATTTGCAAATCAATTATTAGATAGATTTATGTTATTTTAATATAAAAAACCGTGATAAAATAGAATTCTAGTTTTTTGTCAAACGATTCACAATTAAGTGCGCTGCATCTCATAAAAACTTGGAGTCTGCCGAAAGACCGAGGTTGGTAGTGACGAACCTCCATAAAAAAATTAACAGTCTTCTTTTGTAAAATATTATAAATTACCAAATTAAATATTTAAGACACATATGTGAGTAATTTTCCTAAGCAATGACCTACGGTTGTAAGATTATTTTCTAGCTGCAACATAGGTCATAAATCGGAACGAGACAGCAATATTTCTCTCTCTCTCCCACATATGAGATCGGCGCCATCCTTTTGTTTAAGCGCAGAGATTGCTTGGGCTTGGAATCTATAACCTTCCTTTCATCAGGTGCTTAAGAGGAGTATAACTGCCAATAAAAACACTCAATCTCCCTCACAATTTCAGTCTTAGATCAAAAGATGATGTCTTTGCAAAATCCACCGTCATGTTGCTTAGATTGTCTAGATCCAAGCTGTTTTAAGGAACTTTGAATTTGGTCTTGTGGATTTGGTGTTGCGCTGTAAGGGTATTTATTGGTCAGTGTACGATCGCCCTATTGAGTGACACATTTTTACATTAATGATCATTAATGTAATTAATGATCATTCCTTTCAACCTAAAGCACAAACATATATAATGTCCTTTGAAGAAAAAAAAGGTTTTACAATATTTACGAAAATAAAAAGATATTGAAGTATTATCATTGTCACTTGCGCCCTTATGACCCATAGAACAAAATACATGTCAGTAGTGCAATATTTGGTTTTGGCTCCTTGTCAATATGAATAAAATAAAAATAAACATTATACAAATTAAATTTTGATTACTTTTGATTCACTTTTTATTTTCTAAATATCTCCCTTATCTATTATACGAGTATCTTATTGTACGAGTACCTTACTAAAAAATCCAAATGTGTTAAAAATTAGCTTTTCTTAAAGGTTACTATCATCTGTCTGTGTCCAGTATTTATAGAGCAATAGACAAAAAACAGTTATTTTTATTTTTCCTGAAAACTTACATTTTTGTAGTTATCTTTTTATTCTCTGGGGACGGCGAAATATCGTTAATTCGAAAAAAAAGGGAACCTGATTTCTTTATAATTTGTTTAGGACTACTTACTGTTTGGAGTCAGTACTTATACAGTATTTAGTTAGTAGCTTTATAATACCTACTATTAATATTATTTTTGTCTACAATTTTCTACATGACTGTACTATGCTTAACAAAACTGTTAATAAGGTCCAACTGGCAGTAGGGTATAATCTTGAAGGTCCAATGGGCACTTAAAAAGAGGTCCAATGGGCACATTGAATATAAAATGTTTTAAGAAGGTCCAATGGATACCAAAAAAGAGGTCCAATGGGCACTTTTTGCTTTTGGGTCGAATCTTGAGGGTCCAATGGGCACTAGACCGACGGTGAACCTTTTGACCGCATTGTCTTGGATTACCAACAAAAATTGTTTTCGTACACTAACAACATTTTGTTATAGTTATTTATGATATTAGTGCTGTAAGTTTGTAAACACCATTTACAGTAACAGTATCTTTATTTAATTCAAGTAACGAAGCAAACTTTTCCTAATAAGAAAATGTCATGCATTTCTAAATGGCGCCACGTGAGGGTGGCGAAAATTAGAACCCTATCCTATGTCTCTTTTTCTTTTGTTAAATTGTGACAGATGTAAAGGTTAAAAGAGCTTCTAAGGAGATTCGACTAAAATTTAAAAAAAGAATGTGCGGTAAACCTTTCACCACACATTCCGTGGTATGGCCCGTAATTTCGAACTTTCAAATAAATTATACAACCTCCGTAAATGCAATTTTTGAGCAAATGTGTTGACAAAACATTTGTAACGTATATTAGGTATATAACGTTTTGTATATATATCTCCTTGCTGTAAACACTCGCTTCAATTTCATGCACTGTCCACGCTAGATGATCCCCCGTGTTTCCGGTATAATTTCATCATAGCCAATGTCATGATCGCTCCCTTCACCGCGACCAAGGCTGCGAGGACTTAACCAGTGTCTCTAAATGGATAAGCGATTACTGGATTACTTACCTACATCCAAAATAGTAAGTCGTATTAATTAAGTACCCACCAACCTTATTAACAAAAGTGATTAAAAAAATGGGTGCGTGTACTTATGTAGGCGCGTGAGAAGTTATCCTTCTTTGGCATCGTTTAAAATTAGTTTTTAATTGCATGCAAATAATTAATTACAATAAATTAATAAAAAGTCTGGAAAAGGACACAGTCAATAAAGTTCAGTTTTAATTTGAAAAAATAAATAAATAATCAAAATATTCAATTAAAATCGCTACTGAATATAATTTATTAGAACATATGTGATTTGCACTTGTATGAAACTCAAACACGTATTCCGAATATACAAACTAGAAACATGTGGATAAATATTATAAATATGAATACCTATAACTATTACTTTATTACAAAAAATAAAGATGTGGTTTTTGGTTCTACTACATCAATGGTCAAGAGATGGCGCTGTAGTCTCCTGAATCGCGCTTTGGTTCCGTTGTTCCAGATTAATAAATACTTTTGATAGGCCTTCACAATGCAGTCATTAGCACCCATTAAATAGAGATTCTCACCCATTAAATCGAGATTCTATTTTGTTGGTAGATTTTCTTAATGTGCGGTAAACACAAAAGTAACAGCATGCTGTTAATTTTTGTGTTACAGTGATGCACGCGCATCTTCAAATTTAACTCTCATAATTTTTCATAACGCGCCTAAAGAAGTATAACTTTAAAAATATTATAATAAATTTATTGTTTTTACACCATAAATCATTGATCGTCAATTTTGAACCGCGATTCAATATATTTTAAATTTTTGTTGACGTTACGAATCTTTACCATGCTCCTTGGCGTGTGAAAAATTCAATAAATTGCGCTTCATAGGTACTAATTTTTCTCAAACATGCTTAGAAATTTGAGCATTATTTTGACAACCTTTTTCCAAAGATTTTCATGATACATTGAAATTGCTTTACTGGTCAAATACATGCGAGCGGGGCCGACAAAAGTTTTATGAAAATCTATATCAGTCGTTTACAGGCCAAACAAATTAGTACTTACTTAGTAAACTCTTGACGATCGTGTAAAAAAGGAACGATATATTACTCCGAAAAATTGCAACTAATGAGGTAACTTATCAAAGGTTTTATTCAAATTTCGAACTGCCTTGCAAATAAATAGAATAACTGTATGATGAAAAAAATAACAAGTGAACACAACATTTTAGAAACAGCCTTTTCAAATAAAAAGTTCTGCATAGGTACTAGGAACTTAGTTTTAATTTCGCGCATTATTTGAGATAAATACTATACAAGTCTTGGCCGCAATTAGGCATTGATGGACCTTTACCTTTACCTTTTTACAACTAGGCACTGATGGTTTCGCCTCGGCCCACATTTAACACGTTTGTCCATCAACGTTTGCAGGTTGCAGCAGTAATGTACTATAAAAAGTGTTTGTATTATATAAACCTAACAAGAATAACTTTAAGAACTGGCCAAGTTAGCTGATAGGCTAAAGCCGGATCTCCAGCAAAAGCTTTTTGAAAACTTTTAACAATAACACATACACAAACATCTGCCCCTACCGGGATTCGAACCCGGGACCTCTCGAGTCGCCGACACCATGAAACACGGTGTACAAACCACTCGGCCACGGAGGTTGTCACTCACAGTTACCTACAGTTTTCTTCTTGCTTTAATAGAAAACGGTGTGGGTATCATGCGAACATAATGAGAAAACACCTCCCGGCTCTTAGTAACAATTAAAATTATAGTACTTTCTTTTGTGTCTGAGAAAAAGTGTGTGGGTTTATCCCGGCATTGTAGAAAACATCCCCCTGATCCTACGTCAAGCTCGGTGACGTATTACGAAATGGCCGTGCGTCCGTCTACCGCTGTGAACAACGACACATCAATATCGGATTTTCAATAAAGCACAATACATCTTATTGCCCACTTGGGATTTCATATTAAAAACAAATTGCTTGTCCGTACAGACACGTGTTTTGCCCTCGAGGTCAATGTTACGCACGCGGCCTGTCGGGACCCATCCCCGACAACCACCCTGCGCTTGGATACGACCACCCATTTCCCCGATCAGTCTACGTCGCGACGCTACGCGGTTATCATCTGTACCATTCGAGTCCAGCCAGTGCCTGTGTTAAAAACCTTTTTTCAGCTGAACCTCCAAAAAACCATAGCCAGTAAGAAAAATTAAAAAGTTAGTTTTAAAAAAGTTTGCCTACACGTTTATTAAAAGTGGAATTTATTGAAATTAAAATAATTGAAAAAATGTTATCGTGTCATAGAATGTTAATTGTTTTTTTGTTTCGACATGTAACGAGTGTTTAGTTTTAATTATCTAGAAACACGAATGTAGTAATTAGTTAAGTGCTCTGCACCTAGTAAGTTTGAAGATTGTTAGGAAGATAAAGAAAACATTTAAACTACCTATAAAAACATTAAAAAAACGATATTACGCATTATGTTTAAAAAATAGTAGGTATTAAGAATTATAGGTGGCATAGTGCTTATTCTTATAAATATCCTAGGCCTTTATAAAAGTTACGTTACAAAGTAAATTCAACAGGTATTATTTTTATAAATATTTTGTTTTAAATGTATTTTCACTAAAATTGATAATTAGTACAAGTATATTAAATAAACTTATCAAAAAGCATTACAAATGGCAACTGAAAGTAAAAGAATTATTAATAAATTAAGTTTTTTGCGAAGCACGAGAACATCTTAGATAAAAACGATTAAAAAATATATCAAATAAAATAAGCAAGTAATATATTTGACACGACGTCTGTTTCACAATGTTTTTTTTAATAATTTGCAAAAAGATTTAATAAACTAAAACCTACTTCAACTTTGGCTTTTTTACTATTCTGTCATTTTAATAAGTAAAGTAAAATATGTGTATCCTTATTTTACTCGTCAAGACACGGTAGCAGTATTCTTCGCCTTAACTTTCGCAAAAAATTACTAAACAAAATAAAAAAAATACACTTAAAGTCAATAAACCTTATTATTTCAATAGGGCTCGATAATACAGCTGACAATATGAGATGAGCTAGACATGCGAATCTGGTTCGTTTCATAGCATATGAACTTGAACGAATGCGAAATATTGTTTATCATATTTTCTAGTTCTCTTCGCGATCACAAATAACTTGATAAAAGGCTTTACGAGTTAAGTGTTGCACTATTTGAACTTTTTTTCAAACAACTTTTTGTTGTTCTTAATAGTCACAAGATTTAGATTAGTTGTCAACTTTTAGTAATTAAATGTATTTTTCTAGACAAACATGTCTTCGGACACGACAAAGCTGTACCCCAACTGCGACTCCTCTGTATGGCTGAGGTCATGCGAGCAAGAGGTCACAGAACCCTTGGAGGGAGAAATTGAAGGTAGGTAGTATTTATTATTTAAATTTAAACAAACAGCTGTTTCGAAATACTATCTAATTTCAATGAAAATTCGATTCCCGGTAATTCAATGGTTTTAGCACCTATACATCAGTGTGTTCGAAAAGAGCTTGACCAGCATATTTTGATGAAAACCTTAATAATTCAAAACGACAATTTAAAAAAAAAGCGTGTATGCTTATGATCACACGACTGAAGTGAAATTTCTTTAGCTCCAATGATCCGAAAATCATAAACTTAACCTGAAGATTTGTTGAAAAAATAAAACTCCAATCCACCAATCCGCACTGGGTCCATTATCACCCACCAATCCGCACTGGGTCCATTGTCACCCACCAATCCGCGCTGGGTCCGTTATCACCCACCAATCCGCGCTGGGTCCTTTATCACCCACCAAGCACTAGATTTATGTATTTTGTGACAGGTACTGTTCATTGTTTACCCATGTTGTTCGCGGTATACTTTCCGCTGGTAAGAATGCTGCGCCACAAGGACTTTAATTCATGAGAATTACATTCAGCGACGGTCACTGCATTTCTTTGCTTTTAGTTTAAGATAAATCCACGTCCAAATTTTTTTATTGAATTAGTATCATGGGACAGTGTAGGCCAATCCAACACGTCAATACTCGTTTTTGGTTTGGAAGGCAAGCAGAATCGACTTTGGTATTTAAGAGCATTATCCTCATTCTGTGTTCAGAAATCATTTTGGCATAGAAATATCACATGAACAGCATTGAGCAGAAGGTAAGAAAGAGTTTCTGTGAATTTTCGTCATCTTCTGAGCATGAAAAGTACCGGTATAATTAAAAAAGAAAGAAAATGGTTTTAATAATACCAATTTCATACACACAATAAATCATTAAAAATATAGAACAACAATAATTATTAGGATTAATTAGGACCCTGCCTCAGCATGAGCTGGTGTGACGGTGGTCGCATCAGCGCTGATGTTCTGACAGAGCCTGATAGAAGTGATGGCATAAATACGCTTATCTGATGCGCTGTGCCGTGACCAGAGAGCTATCCGCTGCCATACATGTAGTATGGTGTCAACATATCGCGACATACAAGTACAGGTCTAACCATACCAAATGCATGAAACCGACCGCATCAGATCGCGTCACAATACAATAAGACAGAGAAGTATATCTCTGCCTTGAGACATACATAAAATAAAATAAGAAAGACGGGTTGCACTCCGGGAGTGCCGGCAGAAGTGAAAACTTGAATATTAACGTTGTGCATTTTTGAAATTTTGGAATGGTTATTGAATAATTTTGCACGAATTGCTTTAATTATCAGTATAAAAGTACTATCATGTATGTGGTAGAATACAATATTTATTTATTGCGCTATTGTACACAAACATGATAATTTATATTACATTAAAAAAGTTTATCTCTCAGAAAAATCAACTTACATGAATCACATTTAACCGCACCTAGCGACATCTATTGTAAAAAAATGCATTTTCTTCGCAATAAAGCTGCCACGTGGACGTCCTAGATAGAGACTTATTATTATAATACGATAAAATAAAATATTACTGTTTCGTCCAATATATTGAAAGTCAACAACCTTTCCAATTTTATTGTGTGTCACGATGCGATCAGCTCACGTGTTTAACCTGACGCGAGTTTTTCATTTTTTACCCATACAAAAAAAAAATACAACGCCACTAAAGAAGTTTTCACTTCAAAAAAACTTTTAAATACTAAAAAAAGCAACTTAAAGTGCGACAAGGATATCTACGAATGTGAGTAGTAGTAGAACGTGAGTGACAGTTCAGGAGGGATGCAATTAAGTGAAAATATTCTAAACCTTTTTTTGTGAAGTATCCCTAGGTATACACATGTATTGGCTGTTTCTTGCTAATACCGAGTAACCAGTACCCTTAGCACGAACCAATATCGAATTCGTATCGTTTGCGAGTGCGAAATGTCACTGTGAAATTTTGTATGGAAACTTGAACAGCAGCACCACAAAGTCCGTAACGAGAGCTAAAAATCAGTACATATTTGACAATGACATTTCGGACTCGCAAACGTTACGAATTCGATTTTGGTTCGTGCTAGGGGTACAGCTGTTAAAAATAAACTTGATCGGAAAAATATATCCTCCCCCAATATTTGTTTTCGCATTCTTAATGATGCCTTTTTTCATTGCGTTTTCAGAAAGAAGACACTTCTTCAAACTGGAGGGAAATCTTTTGTTTTTTATATAGCATTTTAGAAAACGGATTAGTCTATTCAACCTTATATTTACTTTATTAAACTGCACAGAAAAAAATAAATTTTAATTTTTAATTTTTGGTCACATTCTTGTCGAACACTGCATAATAAAAAATCCGGAATATTTATTACGGATTATTTGGTTTGGTTATTTAATTACACGATCTTCCACCCCCTCTCACCCCCTTAAACGATAATTTCTGGGTTAAATATTATCCTATGTTTTTTCCGCAAGTCAAAGTATCTCTGTACCGGATGTTATATAAAAAGCGTTCAACGGTTTAAGCGTGAATATGTAACAGACAGACAGACCAACTCGCATTTACAATAGTAGTATGGATTTTTAACGAAAAAAGGTGTTACCCAAGAAACTTTTTTGGCATGTGCAGTCAACATGTGGAACTATCGAAATCTGACTCTTTTTTGTATCTTTCTTGATACAAGATTTACAATTGATTGAATATTTGCCACTTTGCGGTAATATGACGTGTTGTCGACTGTATTAGAAATATTATCTCAAGCAAGATTATGTCGGTCGCTGCAAACCACAGGACTACAAATCTAAATCATACTCGTGGAGAGGGTTCCGCACAAATGTGTAGGTATGTGAATAGTTCATCTAACAGTTTAAAACGAGATTCGAGTCGCATAAATGTTTTGGATATTATCAATAACTGATCCAAATAAAATTCTTTTCTATTCTTTTTACCCGACTGCGTACGCAAGCAGCGCAAAGCGCGACGCGCAGTCGGGGTATTGTGTTTAACAGTCTATATATGTATGTATGTTCCTATGTGGCACACTAAAGACCAAACGCATGGACCGATTTTGATAATTCATACGCCAATCGAAATTGGCAACAATTAATGCAATAACAATTGCCTTAATGTGGGAAAGAAAAAAAATAAGTTGACGGAATATGCCGAGTGGGGTATCATTGTGTAGATAATTGAAAATCATCTTTAGGTTTATTACATCATTTTCCATTTTTAATAGCTGTTTAGGATCTACAACGAATTAAATTTGTATATCAACCGTTTTTAATTTCAATCTCACGTTTGTATGGATCGTTGGTACTTTTTCACGGAAAAAGAACTGTATAGTGATCCATTTTTTAATGAGACAAGAAAAATATATTTGGCTCTCGAAAAAATGCAGAGGGAAATTTGAAAATCGAGCAGTGGTATTTTTACTTTTAAATAATCGAAGTTTTCAAAATAATTACAAGTGGCCAGTGTCTTATACATAAAAACTTTTTTTCGCAAAACTTTCTGAGTGGCCTGGTATATCTTTTAAATAGTTATACAAAACAGTCTGCGACAGCATGTAACTATCTTTAATGTGTGAGACAGTATCGCAAAAATAGTGAATCGAAAATAAAATGAAATTTGATATTTATTTCCAAAATGCACATTTTGTACTATAAGGCACATTATATCAAAATAAATACTTATCGCTTCTGATAATTAAAGATTATAAAGTTTTCTAGTTTACACTATGTCATTTGGACAAATATTTAAAAAGTTACGACGATGATAAAGTGATTGCGCGGTGTTCTATGCAGGAGTACTCGTAGACTGCGGGAGTGGTTGGAGAAGATTGTGTACCTACGCCCAGCATACTCACCATGGAATACCGGTATTTCAAGAATGCCAAAAAATAGTTCTCAAATAGTGCTCAAAGGAAAAAAAAAGTGCTTTCATACGCAAAAAGTTTGGTATAATCTGACTGCTTAAAAATTACTTTAAATAAAAACTGAAAACAAAAAAAAACAAGTATAGTCCATATTTCTGTTAAGTAAGGAACAAAGCTACTATAAAAGCCGCGACCTATTACTGAAAAAAAAAATCCATTCTAGAATATCTAATGGATTGGATTGCAATGGAAGTTGTAGTTTTCCCGAAAATCGCGATAAACCGTTTTCCCCCTTAAAAGGTCACCCCCCTCCCTTCCTGACCTTAAATCGCACATTACTTACTTTTAAAATTTGTCGTAATTTGTTCTTTTCCTTTTGGTATGATTTTCATCCCGTTTCAAATTGTTTGCTCTCAAAATTTATTGGCCCTAGTCTTTATTAAAAACATACACAAATACATGAAGAAGGCGGACGTATGACGGTGCCTAAAAATGTGTAAGGGCGCTAATAAGTTGTCCGGAAAACGAAATATCGCTTTTTTAAATATAAGTTATAAAATTTCAATTTATATATATTTTGTTTGTTTCTAGGAGAAATCCCTGCGTGGCTCAGTGGAACCCTTCTCCGCAACGGACCTGGGTCACTGAAAGTAGGAGACATGAGATTCGACCATCTGTTCGACGGCTCTGCTTTACTGCACAGGTAAGGGAGCACGTGTGGAAAACTTTTTGAATACGATTTAGATTCTTCTATGGCGCAACATAGAGCTTCTTTAAAAGTCTCATTATGAAAGTTCACGCATTCATTACGTAATTAAAGATTTCGTCTCAGTCAATGAAAATCAAATTATGTCATTATTGTGACATAAAAATTGCGCAACGAATAAAAAAATACTATTACAATCCAAAAGTTTTCTTTTTTTTCAAATAATTTTACCGTAACTTCAATTAACTTTACCAATTAAAAACATTTATGGCATTCTGACTGCTGCGTCGTCAGAATCAAAATTCTAACATCATCATCATAATAGGTACGTCACAACCTACAACGGCCCCGGATCACTCACTCACATAAGTTAATAATATGTCATCTCTCAGATCGAAGTCACAGTAAGTTCCCAAATACACTCAATGACTTTACACGTCCTCAAATGCTAGATATAGTGGCTACATATACTCCTCCGGATTATTAAGGATTAATATTGAAATTTCGTCTTAAGCTTATAATTTAAACGACATTTTTAATTGGTTTTTCATATAAATAATGGTTATTTTAAGATTTGGTACATTAGATTTAATTTTGGTGTCTGCAGTCTGCAGTGTGTACATGCATTAGAGGGACCAAACCATTACATTAGATTTGATAAACCACAGATCCTTGCAACTGAGCAACGATTCATTCCTAGAATGATACGCGAGGCTATTAAGATTAAATGAAAAATATCCAAATTTCAATAGGGAAGATAGTTGGTATATACCACCAGCCACCAGCTTGGGAACCCATTATACAGGAGATAAAATCCCAACCCCGAACACATACTGCAAGACCAACAGATACTATTAGTTCTTTTTGTTTGCATAATTTAACATAAGAATTAGATAGAAAGCTTCGCTTGAGTTTGTTTCGCCGGTTTTTCTCAGAAAGGTCTCCCAATTTTGGAACCGGTGGTAGTTTACGGTAGTTAGGGTCAAATAAATAAATTCAAAATTACAAAAAAGTTTTTTAAATAAAGTACTTTATTAACTTAATTAAGTAATAAATTCATACATAGACAATAAAACTTTAAAAAAACGCTCAATAAAATAGTACAGTCAATCTGTAGGTTGAGTGGTGAAAAAAAAACCTAAAGGGTAAGTCTTGTTTTTTCTGTTGCCAAATGACGTCAGTAAGCCACCTTGGCGATGGGCATGTTCAACTCGTAGGCGTTTTTAGAAAAACTCAAAAAAAAAGTGTTTTTTCACTTTTTCACCTTTTTTTGAGACTTTAGCGCCACCTACAATGCGCATTTTTTGTTGTACGAGATTGCAACAATGACATAAATTGTAGTACTCAACGCCCTCTACAATTATGGTCGAGAAAAAGTTTCTCAAATGCATACAAAACAAGAAAAAACGTTTCAAAAAAATTTTGAGGGTTTTTTTGAGTTTTTCAAAAAACGCCTACGAGTTGAACATGCCCATCGCCAAGGTGGCTTACTGGCGTCATTTGGCAACAGAAAAAACAAGACTTACTTACCCTTTAGGTTTTTTTGCACTGAAACGATTTTTTTTTCGACAGATTGACTGTACTAAAAGTCTTTCGAAGGTAGCTCAACGACGACCTTTACAGGCTACGAAACGTCAATAAATAAATAAAGTTTCGTGCATTAACCCGTGAAAAACTAGTTTTATTTGGTGGACAAATTTCAGCTTTGATGGCAGTGCAAAATTCTGCATGTAAATTAGGTGTTTATTGCTACGATTCTCGGAGAACTATAATAATTGCAATTATAAGCTCTATTTTAAAGTATTTCAGCTTTGTTTATTTTAAAAAAATGCATTATGTTGACATTGGCCCATATATGGTATATATTGATGGTAATACAGCTCTTTGACAGCGACCTTATTGCAATCGATAGTCGACGATGATGACACAAATACCTCATCATGATCAATCGAGCCGACAATCTTATGAGGATATACTCAATCGCGAATTACTGCAATCGATATGCCAGATGCTCTAACGTTTATGCGCATCCTCTATTGTTAATTGCAGGAATATTGTAGGTAACTACCGTAATGGATGCCGCCTAAGTGTGTTGAATAGCCCCTGAATACTTTTAAAAGTGGGGTTCATAAAACTTTTAAGATTTCTTGTTTCAACATCAACAAAGCATCCTTACAATTTCGCAATTTCTGTCCCTTTGAAAGCTGTAATATTGGCATGATTAGTCACGTCGACAAAGAGTCGTCGTCGTCAAGTAATTTTTCATAAAATATATTACTTTTTTGTTTGGTGCTCTCTCTAATCGCAGACTTGGTGATGTCTGGGTCTAATGTAAAACTAAGGAGTAATTTCTAATAAATTGAAAGGGGTTAGCCGACCACTTAGTTTAGTTTTTCTCTTTTTAGATTTATATTATTTTGTTTCTGAAATTTCAATTAAATTTTTATTAAAATAATTTCAACTTACTACACACTACGTTTCGATCGTCATTTGTCTTCATTTAGACCATTCTGGGTTCACAAACACGCCACATGTGCTGTAAGTAGCTACCTGAGTTGAGAGTTTAGTACTTATACAACGCCATTTCTTAAAGGTTACCATGTTTTGTGAATACCATCAAAGTAAAAGAAAAATATTTTAATGATCCTCAAAAAAACAGTAAAACGCCCATGTAAAGTTTCGGTTAGGTTACCAGTTGTATTTTTTGAAGATTAAGAAAATTTAAAAAATATCGTCAGCCACGTGGACTGCTTAACGGCTTCACCCTTTGCTTAACGGTTTCGCCCTCGAGCAGCAGCGCTACAAAGTACGTAACGAGAACTTAAAATCAAAATATATTTGACAATAGGGTATTTGACAAGTTTTAGAAAACGATCTCACGTTATTGACTAATGTTTATGGAGTCCGTAAAAAGTGGATATTCATCATTATGTTGTGTATTTCAGTAAAAATAACCAAATCAAAAACTCCATTTTCAAGTTGCCGCGAAAACGTTTCTCTGGACAATATGGCGTCTTACTAGTGTGTGACGTCACACGGTTGTTATTAAAACGCCAAACGATACAATGTAATGTCAATTTAACCGGAAGTTTACTTGCGTGTGACGTCATTGTAGGCTCCGCCAATCCCAAGCGTTTTGGGTCACGTGACAATAAATAAGAAAATTATTATCTTTTTCTTAAGTTTTTAGTAAAATTATAAATACTTTTTTTGTAAAAATAGTAAAAACCCTTGCCAATATTCATTCTAAATACAGATGCTAACAATTGGCACTTTATTTTTAACACTGTCAAATACCCTATAACATTTAGGACTCGCAAACGTAACGAATTCTATTTTGGTTCGTGCTAAGGGTAATGTAAATAGAAGTTTTGCCTGCGTAATTAAAAAAAAGGTCCAAGACCACCAACCAGGCAATTTACTTAGGACTCCATTCCTCGATCTGGATACTTTAGGGATTCATTCACTATCAAAGCTTGCAAACTTGTGAATAACCTTCCATCAGAAGTCCGTCACTCGGCATCACTTGCAACTTTAAAGAACAAGCATCATGAACATCTTTTATCAACGTCCTAGTCTGCAACATAGAATTTATATTTGTAGTGTATATCATATATATATAATATATACATATAATTCTTTTATTATTGAAGTTACACTTCTTTAGGCGCGTTATGAAAAAATGATGAGAGTGAAATTTTTAGATGCGCGCGCATCACTGTAACCCAAAAGTAACAGCATGAAGTTGGCCGCGGGCGCGTTATGAAAAAATCATGTGAGTGAAATTTCGAGATGCGCGCGCATCACTGTAACACAATAGTAACACCATGAAGTTGGCCGCGGGCGCGTTATGAATGTTAGTGTCTAATAATGGTGGATTATTAACCACTTAGTGGTTAATAATCCACCATTATTAGACATCTGTTCGAAAGGTACTTTGAACGATCCACGGAGCTCCATAAGATGATCGCGTTGTCAAAAACAATGTTGGCACGCTCGTCGCCTCTGATCACTGTTTTCATATTTATAATATTTATCCACATGTTTCTAGTTTCTATATAGACACAACGTGTTTTAGTTACTTACAAGTGCTAATTACATATGGACTAATAACTTAAATTCAGTAGTGATTTTAATTGAATATTTTGAATATTTATTTAATTTTTCAAATTAAAACTGAACTTAATTGACTGTGTTAATTATCCTTTTCCAGTCCTTTTATTATTTTATTGTAATTATTAATTATTTGCATGCAATTAAAAAATATTTTTAATGATGCTAAAGAAGTATAACTTCTCACGCGCGTACATAAGTTACACGCATCCATTTTTTATGTTATATTTATATCAGTATATATGTTAAGTATCAGTATAAGTATATTTAAATTTAAAGGTGTAGGTATTATGTTTTGTGTGTATTTTACATATTATATATATTGTTATTTTTATTTTATTTTCTTTTATATTTTGCTGGAACATTACTCCTATATCTCTGTTAAACTATCCTTTGACGTTAAGGTTGTCTGGAACAGTACCCCTAGCACGAACCATTATCGAATTCGAATAGTTTGGAAACCGAAATTTCAATGTCAAATTTTGTATGGAAACTTGAACAGCAGCGGCACAAAGTACGTAACGAGAACTAAAAATCAATACACATTTGACAATGACATTTCGGACTCGCAAACGATACGAATTCGATATTGGTTCGTACTAGGGTTACAGATCACTTCCATCGACATAAGATCGTCTTTGCCCACCATACTTTACTATTTGTTTTTGTAAGCCTTTTAATTGTTTACGTGAGTAATAAATAGTATATCTATCTAGAAGTACAGCAGTCTTTTTTAGTTTTTTAAAAGTTAGGGTGCATTTTTAAAAAGATACAGATTTCAAATATATATATGTACACAAAACTGTCAACAACTTATAAGACTTGAACAAAGGCCTGCAAGAAACCCAAGAATAATTCTCTTTATTTACACTTAAGTTCTTACAATTTAACCAGTTAATAATGTCACTTACAGTTGAATTAATTATATTTAGATACCTTCCCTGTAGTTGTTTATACACCTTCGTCCGTATGAATTACAGGTTCGCTATAAACGACGGCATAGTGACGTACCAGTGTCGGTTTCTGCAGTCGCAGGCGTACAAGAGGAACCACGCGGCTGGCCGGATAGTCGTCTCTGAGTTCGGCACTGTCGCTGTACCGGACCCGTGTCATACGATATTTGACAGGTTTGTAGATGGAATTTACCTCATCCATTCTTTAGTAGTGGTGACATAGGTACCAGTGCCGCTTTCTGTAGTCACAGGCGTACAAGGGGAATCGGGTGACCGGCCGTATAGTCGTCTCTGAGTTCGGCACTGCAGCTTTACCCGACCCGTGTCATAGGATATTTGACAGGTTGGTAGATGATACTCACCTCTCCCATTATTTGTAGTGGTATGTACTCTTGCCGCTTTCTGCAGTCGTAAACGTACAATAAAAATACAATAGGCGAACTGTGTGCAAAAATTTAACTTTAAGAAAAAATACAAAAATCATCTTAAGGGCGCTCGTGAGAGGTTCGCTCGTTGCTCCCAAAACTGGGGTAGACCCAGTCAATACTCATCCATCCCTGTCAAATAGTAGCGACTGACTGCTTCTGCAGCTAGTATTAACTGGTCCTACCCCTCGTTAACACATCAGCTCCTGCCTGGTGTCACTTTGTCGATGCTGTTTCCACGACTACCGACGCTGCTGCCGACCTACCTAACAACGGTGGAAGATAAGTCCCGCCCTATACTGTGGAAAAAGTATTCACAAAATGTAACCAGGGCGCGGTAATTATGCCGTCAAACACATTAATCAATTTGTTTATAATTAATCCGGTCTGGGATAAAAGCCGGACAGGGTCCGAGCAAGACCCGATTTATCCGGATAGATAGTTCTAGTTATGTTGCAAACCGGTTATCGATATTTTTGTACGTTATTAGGTTTTTAAATTTTTAAAGTAGAACTTATTTACAGGGTGGCGGCGGTGTTCAAGCCGGGTGAATGGATGTCTGACAATGCAATGATCTCCGTGTATCCGTTCGGTGACGAAATGTATGCCTTCACGGAGGCACCCATTATTCACAGGTGAATACGCCCAATCGAATAAATTGTAGTGTTATGGCTCGTTTCCTACGATTATCTTATATTTGAGGAGCTGGCGAACAAAACGGTATAATTACATCAATTACAGGAGCAGTAAAAAACTGAATGACATACTTACAGAGAGCTGTTGGCGTGATTTTTAATTTATGCCAGTCATTTATTGTCTGTCTGTCTGTAGTGGCCCGCCCTCGCTTCGCTTCGGTGTAGAGTTGTAGTGTAAACTATAGTTTTTGTTCTCAGGCTTGTGCTGTGTGTTATTGTGAGTCAACCATATAAGATAGACATATGCTGTTGCGGGATATTTTTTAGACAATTTTATGTAGAATATTTCTGTCATACATGATTTCTATGTAACTTTAACCATTAAGGCTGCACACGCGACGGAAGCTTAAAAAATGGAGTAACTTCTCCCGTTTTCCCAACATTTCCCTTCACTACTCTGCTGCTATTGATTGTAGCGTGATAAAAAGTATACTATAACCTTCCCAGAAGTATAAAGAATAATTGTACCAAGTTTCGTTAAAATCCGTCGAGTAGTTTTTGTTTCTATAAGGAACATACAGACAGACAGACAGACAGACAGACAATAATTTTACTGATTGCATATTTGGCATCAGTATCGATCACTAATAACCCCCTGATAGTTATTTTAAATATATATTTCATGTACAGAATTGACCTCTCTACAGATTTATTATAAGTATACGATTATGTCAGTCAAATATGAAAACGCTGTTTAATGCTATTGAAATAGTGCTTACGAACCAATCTCCTAAATGCAAGTTTGTTAGGAGCTTTACGTATATTGGGGCGCAAGTCATTCAAGAGTCGCACCGTCGCGTCGTGACAGTGAAAGAGTAGGAGACGAAGCCAGACGATGGGAACATACGTCGGCGTAATCGATGATAGGCAGAATGACAGATTGAACAAGGGCAAGCTTGGTACGAGTGGTACTTAGTAAATTCTGTGTTATAAAGATAAAACAATGCCTTCGATGCTTTTATAAAGAAAACAAATAGTTCAAGATCAAATAACACTTTTCATTTATAAAACTATGAAAACCATTTTTTTCTCATAAATCACGGTTTGTCATGAATGTTATTTACTTTTTCGCCATTTGTTATCAAGAAAAGGGCAACAATACATCTCAGCCGTTTGTAGAGAGAGAAAAGAAAACGCAGTCGCCAAGCCAGCGACGCGGACTAGCCGTTTCGCACGCGCTGCGTTGAAATCTCGCTCGCTCGATTGAATGTTTATTTACAGGAAAGTGCGTGCGTGAGAGTTCCTTGTGTAGTTGAGTCGGAGTCAATTTTATTTGATGCTAGTTTGAGCGAACCGTATCTTCCCTTTTTGTTTTATCTAAGGTAATAATGTATAATTTGTTAAGAGTGGACCCGGTGACGTTGGACACGCTGGGGCGGCGCGAGCTCAGCTCCGGCGGCACCGCGCTCGTGAGCCACACCTCGCACCCGCACGTGATGACCGACGGTATGCCTTGCTTATTCATAACTCAGGCATAATACATACACGAGCAGTACTTTGACTTCATACTAGCGCCCGAATCGACGCACGCACACAGACAAACGTCATTTACATGGCCGCTAACCAATCTTGGCAAGACAAATCTATGCAGTGCCACGTCGCGCGCCGCTGAGTCTGGTCGATGGCCGAGGTATAATGCGATTGAAATAAGAATAGGAAAGCCAATGACCTCTATCTGTCAAATGTCGCTTGAAAAGTACGGTTTGCAAAAAAAATCTTGGAACTCTTTTTAGCACTCCGCTAATTCAAGAATAAAAACCAAACATTTGTAAACAAGCAATAACAAATATTGATAATTAATATCGGTTGATATTTTTTTTTCACTGATTGAGCTTTGGCCATGAATGGTTGATAGCCTAAATCGTCAACCAAATGTCACTTTAAGTTGCGTTCATAAACTTGATTTCAAACTTTCGTTTACATAAAGGATGCATGTTCGTATGAGACCTAGTAATAGTGCATAATTATTCATAACTACATAAAGCGAGAGGAAAGATGTTACACATCAAAAATTTGGATGGGCTGAAATAGGAGACTCAAGCTTTGTGTATAAACCGATTATTGTTTAGGCAAGCGAAGTGGTAAGCTCTGAAAATTTTAATAATTAATTGTACGGTTGCTTTGCAGGTGACGTATACAACGTGGGAATGTCGATGGTCAAAGGTCGACTGAAGCATGTGGTTGCCAAATTTCCATACACAGAGAAGGGTGAGAAAAAGCTGCTTTTGAATTTGTATTTACAAAGATAATTTAAAACTAAGTAACTATGAATGTGCATGTAATTGATATCACTCCTTTTCCCCATGTAGAAAGTTTTAATTGAATACATTAAATAGTTAGTCGATTTTACAACGTCCAACACACACGTATCAGAAAAAAAATGTTCTAAAGCAAGTACCTACCTACAATAAATAATAAATCAATTAAGTTAAGCACTAAATTAGATCGTGTTTGAAAGTTTCAGATAGTTAAATATTTTTATTAAAGCATTTAACTGCTAGATGTATAAATCTAAAGATGTTTTTCCCACAATGTCAAATGACTACCTTTACAAGTATTAAACTTTTGATATTGATTGATATTGTGGGTTACCTCCGATGCGAAGTGATGGCGCTGCCTTGCACCCTAAGAGATACTAGAGTAAATTCGACACAGGCAATTAGGGCCGCGGTAGCATAATGGTCAATGCATCCGCCCGGATGGCGGAGGGTGTGGAGTCGACTCCCGTCTGCTGCCTGGTCCGGATGGTTTTTTCCTAGTTTCAGATAACTTGACTTATAGAAATTTTAAAATTTCCAGGAGATATGTTCGAGAGCGCGCGGGTGGTTGGAACAATGAAACCTCGTTGGACTTTACATCCTTCTTACATGCACACGTTCGGTGAGTCAAAATATCTACTTACTACACCCATTATAATTTTAACAATAAAATTTGTCTGACATAAAACAATATGCCAATATCAATCTTCAACTGATATCAATAGTGAGAAAATAATTGCAAATTTTGAGGGGAAACGTTGGGTGAAAGTGTTAGAAATAGGGTTGCCAGTTGCTGGCTTATGAATTGCCTCCACGTGTCAACGGTGTCAGCAACTGTCAAAATAAGGAATTAATAAATAGTTTTGCATTAATTTCTTTAAAACTGTACTTACAAATATAAAATGATACGTTTTTCTTGTCTGCAATAGTTCCTATGTAATTTGTGTACTATCTCAAAACAGACATAGGGCTTTTTTGTCTGGAAATATATTTACTTACACGATGTAGCGAAGTGTAGTCGCGGGGAGAGAGCGTGCCCGTCTGAGTGCCAGTCGGGCAATTACCTGACTTTCGTATTGCCAAATTAGAAGCGTATATGTGTATCTATTACTACAAAACATTATTGATTTTGTACTACACTATTATAAACACAATCAAAAATTTCCTATTTTTAAAATCAGATTAATTAAATGTACGAGAACAAAAAAGAAAGTTCACCAATAAACTTTGCTAAGAAAAAAATTAAACATCAATAAATAAAACATATTTTCTCTAAATAATGCTTTATGCTGAAACTCTATTCAACTTCCGCATACAAAATCATAATTTAAAAAGCTGACATTAAAAATACCCTAACACTGTAGCTATTCCCAAACTCTGCATGCATTATATTACAACTAAATTAAAGACTAGTGATAAAGCAAATAAGTTACGTTGAAATGTTAAATTTTGTAATCAGTCTGATTACACCGGCCATCTTTACTCTTGATAAAATAGTTTTAGAAACATTGGTTTATTTTCATTCACCTTTTGTCACAGAGGATCAGCATTGTCAGAACTTTGAGTGAAAAAAGCGGGATTCTTTCGTCGAAAGCGGGACATAGTAAAAAACGTATATAATCAAAAGTTATTGAATATTTAGCATCATTACGTGCCGGGCAGGCGGCCAGTCCGTACTTGTCTGTGCCACCCGCCGTGCTTTTTCAGTACACTGCACGCACGGTCGAGTTATTTATGAAAAGCGGGATTGAGCTTATAGGGTATTTGACAAGTTTTAGAAAATGATCTCACGTTATTGACAAATGTTTATGGAGTCCGTAAAAAGTTGATATATATCATTCTGTTGTGTAATTCAGTTAAAAATAACCAAATCAAAAACTCCATTTTCAAGTTGCCACGAAAACGTTTCTCTGGACAATATGGCGTCTTACTAGTGTGTGACGTCACACGACTGTTATTAAAACGTCAGACGATATAATGTAATGTCACTTTTACCGGAAGTTTACTTGAGTGTGACGTCATTTTAGGCTCCGCCAATCCCAAGCGTTTTGGGTCACGTGACAATAGATAAGAAAACTGTTATCTTTTTCGTGGGTTTTTAGTAAAATCGTTTGTAAAAATAGTAAAATCCCCTGTCAATATTCATTCTAAACACAGATGCTAACAATTGCAACTTTATTGACGTGACAACGTCTTAAATTAGGTTGCGGCTGGGAGTCACTTATGAAAAAGTGTAACGCTCGGTAACGTTACGATGAGTCTCTCGTGTTAAGTTTAAGTTTACATGTACAATGTTTTAGTAAACAAAATATATTTCTATAGTTAAAATTTGTGCAATTCTTATTTTCATTCAATTCCTTGTTCCTATTGTGCAATTTAATTATATTCATATCAATAAATATTCTACCGAGAAAAAGACGTTGTCACGTAAAATCTTCGCCCGTAAAACCGACTTTACAGGCAACCATTTTTTTTAATACTGTCAAATACCCACATGGGACATTTAATTTTGATTTAAAAATCGGGACGTCCCGCCAAAATCGTGACGTCTGGCAACGCTGCAGAGGATGTTGAAAAGAGTATAGACTTGTATCTAACAAGTTTGATGTGTGTATGTGGTTTGCAGGTATATCGGAGCACTACTTCGTGATAGTGGAGCAGCCCTTGTCCGTGTCCCTGGGGGGGCTCGTGCGGGCGCGGCTCACCGGCCGCCCCGCCGCCGCCAGTCTACACTGGTACCCGCACGTGCAGGTATACACCCCGGCAAACTTCTTGACCATATCATCAACCATAGACAAGGACGACTTTTTGAAGTGAAACCTCTTTACGGACGGGGTGCAAATGGAAAAATCCTACGGAAAAGATGAAACGGAAATGCGTCCACATGCGTGTGTGTGTGTGCGTGTGTATGTATATTTTGTTCTTTTTCTGTCTTTGCATACTGCCTCATGTTATTTGTCCTTTCTTGCTGTCAATGTCATAGTTGCGCACAGGCATGGATCGGCAGTAGAATTACTATTAATATGTTTGCAATTCATTTAATTATTAGTTTATAAATTAGTTTTTCTTTTGTTTTTAGGTTCCAGTCTGTAGTCTGTCCACTGTCTGTAAAAACATTCAGCCTACGTTGTTATTATCTTTTTTTTAAGTGTACATTGGTATGGTTGTATAATAATAATCTGTGTCATCAACCTTAGGCCCTGCAGCAGCCCTGGTGTTGCTGTAGTATCAAGCTGAGTTGGCCAAATATTTTTTTTGTTGTTTTTATTTAGGTTAACAATACTGTTAATATTAGTTAGTTATAGTCAATTAAAATTTCTTTCTTTCTTTCTTCTTTCTTTCTTTATATGTTAAAAATAAGTAAAACGGTAATCTGCAGAAGGACCACATTTTTGTCCATTCTGTCATATTGTATAACTAGATGGATAAACTCTTTCAAAATATCCTTCCGGCTTTCGTTTTTATTATGAACGCTTTCCAGACGCACGTAGTCCTCATTAGCCGCTCGACGGGCGCGGAGGTGAAGCGATTCTGCACCGACCCCATGTTCTATCTTCACATCATCAACGCGTTTGAGAAGGACGGCAAGATTGTCGTCGACCTCTGCGCGTATAAAGACGCTAAAGCCATCGACGCCATGTACATTCAGGCTATTGAGGTAAATGTTTTACTCGATTAACCTCGTAGTAATTGCTTTTTCACTACGACGTACAGGCAGACGTTGCCTTGATTGTTAAAACTCGGCCTTCGCGCTATATACCGGATCCAGTTGTGGACATAAACTAGAGATGCCATGAATATTCGTCAATTATTCGGTATTCGGCTATTCGGCCACTTTTCGGTGACAAGTCACAACTAGTCACTTACGAATTTAAACTTGCATAACTGATGTAGCACGTAGGCGCAGGTAATTTTGTTTCATTATAAGTTGTTGTCAGCAAAAGGATAACAATATACAACCAATTCAAATTATTCTGAAATTTATCATCTCCACCTGCAGAAAGTACTAAGAGTTGCTGAAAATATTCAGCGCTTCGGCCATGAGGCTCGCCGAATATTCGGTATACGGCCAAATGACTATTCGCGGCTCTAATATAAACAGCCAAGAGAACCAGTCGAATAAAGCATAAAATTTCATTGTAATCGGTCCAGCTGATTAGGGAGGGATTCCATTACTACTATAAGAATAGAATCCAAAACAACGGATATCATCATTATCAGAATATTAATGTCCCCACTGCTGACGTACAGGCCTCCCCTATGGAGAGAATAGGGAGATTGGGCCGTGCGTGTAGGTAGCTAGAGATAATCAAGTATTTGGTCACCCATCCAATGACCGACCATTGCGAAAGTTGCTTAACTTCCACGATCGCAGTCCAAGCGCGGCGCCCTCCCTCCATCACCTGCGCTATCGGGCTCCTCGTCTCCTCATATTTGATATATTTTCACATAAATTGTTCGAGTTTGTGAACTTGGGGGTTAACAAAGATAAGTGATTACTATGATAATTCAAAGACATTAAGTCTTGATAAAGATCCTACTACTCGGCTTCAGTATCGTGTACCGGGTCCACTTGAGACTCTAAGCCTTACTCGACTATACAAATATATGTATCTAATCAAAGAAGAAAAAGCAATATACCTATCTCAAACCTCTTTTCCAGAACATGCAAAGCAATGCAGAATACGCGGAATGGTTTCGCGGCAGGCCGAAAAGACTGGAAATGTCGTTAGACGCCCCGAACCTCACGAAGATCAAACCTATACTACTGGCCGACGTCGGCTGCGAAACTCCGAGGATAAACTATGATTTATATAACGGTAACTATATATGAAATCTTTAAAATTTTGAGATTAATAAATGAACAATAATTAAAGATATAACAGACAGACAGACACACTTTCGCATTTATAATGGATGGTAATGGACTATTAATTAAATAGTTTTTTGTTAAATACCTACGATTTAAATTTTGTTTGTTCGTAGGCCGTCCCTACCGATACTTCTATGCTATTAGTTCGGAAGTGGACGCAGAGTTTCCTGGCGCAGTAAGTACTACAAAATGTCTATTTTAAATTCAACCTTATAATAGTGTTTTTTTTTCTCTAAATGGTTTCTTCACACGTCATGTGCATTTAGCCAATTTCAAGTGTTAAAATGTTTATAAATTCTATAGCACTCGTGGTCAAAGTAATAAATCAAGTCAAAGTAAGTGGCAGTCAAGTCAAACCCCCTTTCCGTATGTTTCAGTAAATGTGTGGGGATTTACTGTAACCTCCCCGTGGACTTCTTGAGGGAACGTCGAAAGACACCTTCCGCTATTTTGTTTCACTTGCCAAAACTTGTGCGTGTTTCCGAACACTAAGTGGTTAATAATCCACCATTATTAGACACTAACATCCGCCACAACACAATTTTTAACAAGAAAAACAAAACTACTAAAGTGACGCTTTCCGATCCCGCCAAAAAGTCCCTAGTAGTGTCTTAAATATTAAAATAGGTAAAACCTATTCTTTTTTTAAGCATCTATAAGCAAGGATCAAGGCTTTAATGAGTAAAACCTAAAGATTCGATTTCCAATTGTTGTTTTTTTTAATAAACAGATAAAATCTCTGACTCCCTTATTAATTAACGAAGAATAAGATTGGAGTAGTTACTCCATGTTTAACGGCGTAACCAGTATAAGCTTATTCCTCTTTTATTAAAAATGGGTTCACAGTTTAATATAGTTCGCTTGTACTTATCTGCGGTGCAGTCGGGAGGCGGTGTAAACAATAAGTCCAGTACTCAACAGTAAACAGTTTATTTGCACAAGCACAGAATAGAAGGAGTACTGAGCACAGTCAGTGATACACAAGCACAGAGGAAGAAAGGAAAAGCACAGTCAAAGCAAACGTAAACAATAACAATAATACGGTTATGAGTTAGCAAGCGCGGAGCAATTGATCGTGCGTACGATACAGAGTATAGGGTCCGACTTTCATTTGCGCGATGTAGACTTCCATACTATTATGATCGCAGTGCAGGTAACGCCATCTCTTGAGGATGGTGAGTAATGATTTCCTCCATCCGTTGGATATATGTGGAGCATATAGATGTCACCGCCACACCTAAATGGTATCTGTTACATTTTTATACACAAAAATATTCAAAAGGCACTTGGAAAGACTGCGCAAAGGCAAAAAGATAAATAGTTTATTTTAACAGACTGCAAAAAAGAATGTTCACAGTTGGTTGTATATGTTCACCTGTATGTTTTTCCGCGATTATCCCAAAAACTACGGTTTTCGGTTTATAAGTACGCATTTATGAGAAAAGATTTTAGTTTATAATATACCAGCAGTGTCCCACGGTTTTACCCGCGTAGATCGATTGAAATAAGCGCGAGCGCGCTAACTTCCTTTCGTCCAACGCGTTTAAATTTCCAATGAGTAGCGTATACAGTATTACACTAAAAAAGGAAAAATAAAATAACTTTGAATAAAAATAGAACCGACTTAAAATAAAAACAGAAAATAAAAAAGATGATTTTCCGACTGATATATTCGAAGTCGATACCAAATACATTTATTTAGCAGGGAGATCATGATAATGGTATCGACTTCAAATATATCAGCCGGCAAATATTATTTTTGATTTTCAGTTTTTTAAAGTCAGATCTATTTTTTTTATTATTTAAATAGTATTTCTTCTTCTTCTTCTTCTTAGGTGATCAAAGTGGACACCGTGACGGGTGAAGTGAAAACGTGGAGCGAGGCCGACTGCTACCCCAGCGAACCGATATTCGTGCCCGCACCTAACGCTAAGGTCAGCCTATTAATGTCCCCACTACTGGGGTACAGGCCTTCTCTATGGATGGAATAGGAAGATAAGGCCATGATCCACCACTATGCATTCCCGACCGTCACTCCAAACCGTAACACCAGCATAACACTAGCGCGTAGTGTATATATTCTGTGACACTAGTGTTACGGATGGGAACCCTGTCACACCAATTTGAAGGTCGGGGATACATTGGAATAAGTATCTATTTTGGAGTTATGTTACCCTGGTACATCAGTTTCATTCATAACATTCATAGATTAAAAGCGCTTCCAATGAGGTTAGCCCGAAATAAATAAAAAACCGTAAAGGATACGCGCCGTTGTATGACCCGTAATTTAGAACTGTCGAACAGTGTACTATACAACCTCCGTAAATGCATTTTAAGCAAATGTGTTGAAAAATAATTCCCACCAACAAACTGGTGTTAGGGTTTGGTGTGACGGTCGGTGTAACGCATGACCCATACCCATCAATTGGGTCAGTGTGGTGGTTCATTGCTGGGGCACGGCCTTCCCTATAGATGGAATAGTGATAGTGGGCCGTGACGGATTTGTGGGTGCTAACGCGTAGTCACATCCGGGACCAACGGCTTAACGTGGTTTTCGAGCACGTAGGAGCTCGAGCTAGTCAAATTTTGGCCACCCATCTAATGCCCAACCACTGTGAAATATGCTTAACTTCAACGATCGCAGCCGAACGCGCGAACGCGCACTTGCACCATCGAGCTCCTCCAGTACATGAATGAGTGTTCCTATTTAAATTCGGAAGCATGGATTTAAATACTAATACTATTATGTGAAAGTGTGTATGTCTGTACGTATTTCTGTTTGTCTGTCTGTCTAATCATTACAACAGATCTGGACTCTTCACGCTTAAACCGCTGAACTGATTAATATGATATTTGGTATAGAAATTATTTGAGGCCCAGGAAAGGATATAGGATAGTTTTTATCTTAGAAATCACCTTTTAAAGGGTAGAAGTTTGTATGGGAGACCAATTTTTCCACGTAGATGTAGTCGCGGGCCAGCATCAAATAAAACTGAATAGATAAGTATAGCCACAAAACAGATAAGTACAGAAGTCAATCTACATACAAAGTCGAGCGCAACACAGACACCGCTCACGGACACGACATCTGGGACTGCTTGGGACCAGGGTGTCGATTCTGCTACGCTAAAGCCAGTATAAAGTTTTGATACCAAACTTCTTACCAAAACATAGAATAAAACATCATAAAACTATAGATAACAACAGCTAATGAGTAAAGAGAGTGTATTTGTAATTTTGTGTTTAAATATCGATAACTGTGTCAAAAATCAAAACTATTGAAACGCCATTGATATACGATTATTATTTTAACGTAGCAAAATCAACACCCAGTAAGAGTGCACCCAGATTCATTCGCTTGAGACATGCGTCTGTGAACTTTTTTGTGCAAAGAATAGAGCAACAATAATATTATTGGTTTATATTTCTTTCTAAGCTTTACTTTTCGTTCTGAGGTCACAGTCCATTCTCTTAGTCTATGATATTTCCTGTAGGATGAAGATGACGGCGTTCTCCTCAGCTCGTTGGTATTCGCGAGTGACACTCATCGCGTATCGCTGGCAGTACTCGCGGCGAAGGATCTCAAACTGTTGGCGTGTGCTTCCTTCCATACTAGCTCGCCCGCGCCGAAGTGTTTACACGGCTGGTTTACGCAACACGTGCAGTCCAAATAATTCAGTAAAATATTTTACGTACAGGGAGTCAACCAAAGTTATCCAAAACTCAAATGTTATCTAACCGTCTTTCAGAGTTATTTCGCTTGAAATAAATGACTGTTGACGTGTGCTTCCTTTCATACTAGCTCGCCCGCGTCTAAATGTTTACACTGCTGGTTCACGCAACATATGCAGTCCAAATAAATTACTGAAACATCCATACTACAAATCTTTTTCTGTTGTGGTTCTGTAATTACAAACAGCTAAGCAAAGTTATCTAAAACTATCTAAACCACTTTCAGCGTTATTTCACTTGAAATAAATAACTATGTTGACGTGTGTTTCCTTCAACACCAGCTCGCCCGCGCCCAAGTGTTTACACGGCTGGTTTACGCAACACATGCAGTCTAAATAATTCAGTAAAATATCTAAAATACAGACAGCCAACCAAAGTTACCCAAAACCACGGAGGAAAAACAAAGAGGAGCTGGCCTAAGCAACTGTGCACTGTGATTTTCAACTAGGTCCTGACGTCATCATTGTGGGCGGGGCCTAAGTCAGTATGCTTTCAGCATTCGTCAGGTGCACACTTAACGAGACTCGCATTATAAGTGTTTTTTTGCGTTTTTAACAAGAAAAGGATGAAGTTTTGTGTTTTACTATGTCAAAGTTACTCAGACAGACGTTCTGATAATATGGATGGCATCACATTTCATTTGTAAGTAATTTTATACGTAATTAAATATATAAGTTCTAGAACATTCTCAGCCTCAGCTTTCAGCGTTAAAATTCTACTACTTGACACCAGATGGCGACACTTTTAGGAAGAAAATACACAAGTTTACGTATAATTTTGCAGTATTATATTGTAATAATCATACGTAAATACTGAAAACTGTTATACACTTATTCCTAAATAACTTTTAGTATTTAAAACAGTAATTTTATCAATATATTACTAACTGGCCGCCCTCTGTCGTCATATAGAATAACTTTTTAAACGTTACAAATATCCAGGGCCGTAATACGTATTAAATTATTTACCAAGTAAATAAATTTTAATTATTTTTATGTTCGTTTTAGATTTCCATCCAACGATAATTTAAAACAGCAATGGATTTCAAAACTTAATAGACCGGATTGGACACCATAGAAGAAGAAGATATTTCCATTTTAAATGAATCTTCTGTGCAAAAAATTAATATTACATCAGAACGTTATCGCATTTTAAATAAAATGAGTTTCGAGTCTTCGGATAGCACGGATGTCGAGCCTGTGCCTGACGATATGTTATTGGAATTTGATGAACAATTAAATACAACTATAGGTGACTATTTGCGCCGTCAAATAGTAGCATATATTTCTGGGTATGTGGTCAAATATTTACATTCCAAGATCAAATGTGAGAGCTGTCTCAAAGAATTATATGCTGATAACTACGACGATAGTGACCTTGATTTGATAAAAACTAAAAATAAGGGTGGTCTTACTTTCCCATCTAGAGATGTCATAAAAATATGTATACGGACCGAAGGCAGTATTCGTTGTGTTAAATCGCAATCTTTGAATACTCCTAACTTTCGTAAACATAAAATTGTATCGAATACATTAAAATCACTTATTGGACAAGATTGTTTCAAAAAATCGGCCAACCATATGTTTGACCAATCACCTACAGTTAATCATGTTGTATTTCTGATGAAATCGATTGCAGAAAAATATATTGATATTCGTTTTAAGCATTTTGCCACAATACAAAACGATACGGCAACGAACCGACAACAACTAACCAAAACTATTCTTTACAGGTAATTGATGTTTTTTAATAAAATTATGTTTGTAATAACATTTTGTCTATTATTTTTAAACTACCTTAAAATTTAAATCTAAAGAAAATATAACTAGAAAAATATCCACGCGGACCAGGCAGCAGACGGGAGCGGGTGCGGGTTCGAGTCCCGTCTGCTGCCTGGTCTGCCTGGATTTTTTTTCATCAAGCAGTTACATGTTTTAAAATAATAAAAATTATAGCTTAAAAATTTTAAAATCGGTCAAATTTGTTAACGTTTATTTTATTTATTTACCTACATATTTCATTTTTTTGAAGCTTCAAGTAATAATCATAATCATAATCAAAATCATTTATTCAGTTTAGGCTGTTACAAGCACATATGAATGTCTAGAAGCTACGCCATCGGTTCGTAAATCTACGGCGGGAGACCTTGTACTGAGAAGAACCGGCAAGAAACTCAGCAAGGGCTGTTTTAATTTCTCCCTGTTTTATTATTTACAGAGTCGTCAAATTGAAAAATGACTTCAGAGGTGATTCATGAAGTCACTTTTCATTACATAATTATTAATATACATTAATTGTTTACCTGCATTTTGATTGCTGTGTCATACAGTATAAATACAAATAGTGTTATTTATATTAAGTGTGACTAAACATTAACTTCAATATTAAGGAAGTTAGGGCAGACTCATCTCCGCTGGCAGCACCCGTTCACGAGCATGACGCATGAACCAGCCATCGCTTCGCTCAACCATATTTTAGGGAACGTAACGACCCGCCTCACACGACACCGCCGAAGAGACTATTATGAGAGCATGACTACCCATAACTACCCATACTAACTACAACATATTTACTCAAATTAAGGTCATTTACCAGTAAGACACAACAAACAATTACAAAACAAAGCAAAGGAGAAATCACGACCACGCCGTTTTGTCAATCAAATATTCTTAAACAGTCTGTGGTAATCTTACTTAAGTTATTAACTTTATATACAGCTTTCAGTTTAATTATAGTATTGTCAACACATAATTCATAATTTAAATCATATAGAAATATCCGTTGGAATGGTTGGAACAGTTCATACCCAAGCATTTTTGTCTGTAATATAATCAGACACTTTATAATATGCTTTCTTAACTAGTGATTTTTTAATGGTCGATTTAAATTTAGTCATGCTTAACTCTTGAATATTGCTTGGAACTTTATTGTAAAAGCGAACACTAAGACCTCTAAACGAATTATTGATTTTGTGGAGCCTAGTAGCAGGTAAAGTTAAGTTATTTTTGATATTGATTTGATATATTCGATTCTGAGTACGTCCCATTATATACAAAACTTTTGAACATCTAGTGTTAGATTGCTGAACTACTACGTAGTAACATAAATATCAACCTAAGCTAGTTTTGCTATTAGCCGATAGATGAAATATTGAGAAGTGGGCGGAGCTGAACACCCCGCATCCCGCAAATTATCACGCGTCGTTTCTTGAGAAAATTTAATCACCACACCTCCTCTTTGTTTTTCCTCCGTGCCCAAAACTAAAACTTTATGTAACCGACTTTCAGCGTTATTTCACTTGAAATAAATAACTATGTTGACGTCTGTTTCCTTCCACACCAGCTCGCCCGCGCCCAAGTTTTTACACGGCTGGTTCACGCAATACATGCAGTCCAAAAAATTATCTGAAACATACACAATAAAACTCTTTTTCTGTTGTGGTTTTGTAATTACAAACAGCTTAGCAAAGTAATTCAAAACTAAAAATTTATCTAACCGACTTACAGATTTACCTTGCTTGAACTAAGATCTATTCTGAGTGTGTCTTCTTTTACACCAGCTCATCATTTTTGACGTTTGCTCCCTTCCATACCAGCTCGTCCGTATCTAAATGTCTACACGGATGGTTCATGCAATATATGCAGTCCAAATAATTTCGTAAAATATCTAACGTACAATCAACCAAAGTTATCCAAAACTGAAAATTTAGGGATCAATCTAAGCGACTTACAAATTTATCTTTCTTGAAATAAGAAACTCTTCTGTGTACGTCTTCTTTTACACCAGCTAATCCGCGCCCAAATGTTTACATGCATGGTTCACGAAATACGTGCAATCCAAATAACAGTGAAACATCCAACATAGAAACAGCCACATGAAACTAGGCTGGAATTCTTCTTATGGGATGTACTAGTTGAGTTGAAGTGCATTATCAAACAGTAAACCCTTATATTACTTGTAATAGATTTTTAAACGATTGATAAAATAAAATTACAGTTGGTGAATATTTTCACAATTTCAAAATCAATCCGTTGAGTGTTGTACCTCTGATCATTCCCAGTCTTAATTTCGGGAAAATTCCCAGTTTACCGGTAATAGGTATATTAATATTTATAGGAAATTTCTAAAATTCACGGTAACGTCACATCACGTGTCTGTGCTTATCCATGGACCAAACCAATAAAAAAGCGTAGGTATGCTATATTTTTATATTATAACCTTAAAAAAATGGGCGATTTGTTAAATAAATAAAAATTGTTGTTCGTATCTTTGTTAATTAAATTAAAATACTGTTAAGGAAAGTACTCGAGGCCGTAGTATATAAATCTCACCAAGAGAATATTTGTCCTTGATAAGACCATTATTTATACAGTGCAGTTATATTATTGGCCCGTTAACTTTAGGCCTAAAGCTAAACTTTTTGGAAAATTAAATGTAAGTTTAAAATGTAATAATACAATAATTAATTCACATGATGAATGTTGATTTGCTTGCAAAAGGAATGTGTTATTGAAATTTATAGTAAGTATTATAATTATTGACAAGATACATCAATATATCATTGATTAATGATAAGATCCTTTTAATTTGACTTAACATGGTCTAAACCTAAAGAAAAAGTAACTAGAAAAAAATCCACGCGGAACAGGCAGCAGATGGGTCTCGAACCTTTTGCTGTCAGTACCATTATGCTACCGCGGCCCTGATGGCTGTGTCGAATTTTCTCTAGCATTTCTTGGGCTGCAAGGCAGCGCCATCTCTTCGCATTGTAGGTAAACCCACAATGTCAAATGAATATCTTTACAAGTATTAAATATTTGAAAGAAAACGTTATAATTATAGTTATATATTTTTTAGCACTTCGCTATCCGAACGAATGCCCAAAGCGGAGGGTCCTGGTTCGATTAGATTTTTTTCTAATATTTTTTTCTTTAGATTTAAACAGCTAGCAGTTAAATACTGCAAATAAAAAATTAACATGGACTATTTATAAGTAATCGTTTTTTGTGCATAATATGTTTATGGACACATGTCCATCATGTATTAATTAGCTTAAATAACAACAACTAAAGATACCTGAAATAATTAAAATAATTATTATACTATTATACAAATTAAAGATCATTTGTAACATGAAAACAATATAAATGTAATTTTTATACTTTTTTTTAATAAGATTATGCGTATCATTAAAATAAGTTCTACATAGAATTAAGGTTTTATAATATTATACTGTCATTTTATGCTATATATATATATATAAGTTTTGTTACTCTTAATTATTATTTAAGAAGCTCTAAAATCGCTCAAAGATAATCTGTAAAGTAAGAAGTAAATTTACTAAAGTACCAACTTGAGTTAGCAACATATTAAATTGTTGCTTTCTGTACCCTTAGTAAGAGTTTGAGCTCACGAAAACTATCATAGTTTTCGTAATTGTAAATTATGTTTCTGTGTCCATTTTGGTGAAAATGAACCAAATATACATAAAATTTAAGACGCAGATGATTGAATAATAGAATTTAAACACTGTTTATTTGTAGTGAAACGAAAACAATAAAATCTCAGTACCCTTAGTACGAGTGCGAGCTCACGAAAACTATTATAGTTTTCGTAATTGTAAATCTCGTACTAAGGGTTCAGTATCGTTTATACTCGAAGAAATGTACCTATAATTATATATTTTCTATAATCCCTTAAACCCTATCTTCACCTATTTTCTACAAAGGTCCCCTATATTTCTTGTGATACTAATCTTTGGTTCATGAAGGGAAGAGCTTTTTTTTAGAAATTAACAATTATCAAATGATGATTAGTATGAAAAATCAAGGAATTTATATACCTATCGGTATCTAAGTTAAATAAATTCCTTCGTATGCATAATAATAATAATTGTTTATTAAAGGCATATAAAACCCAATAAAAGTCATATTTAAATTACAATAAAAAAATATAAAGTGTAAACAGAGTAAAAATAAATAAAATCATAAAAGAAAAATAAAACAATTAATACAGGTAGTTAAAGATTACCTACGTCATCTAAAGTTATGCTGGTGTGAATAGTTTATCAAGACCAAAATGATATGAAACCTACAATCTCGCTTTTTAGACCCCTTAAGCTCGTTTCTCTTCTATAATTTAAACACTATCACTCATACTAATAAACAAAGAATAAGCTTGGATTAGTTACACCATGTTTTATCTCTGTTCATTGAATGACAAATGTCACTTGAGTGATATGAACAATACCTGGCGTAAGTAACTAGTCTTAGCTTATTTCTTGTTTACTAATAAAGGGGTACCTATAAGTATATATATTTGTTAGTATATACCGTATATCGAGCAGAATCTTGTTACTGCGAAATTCATTTAGCATAACAGACTTGGCAAAAGCTACTTTAAACGAACATTTGTAAGGCATATGTTTTTGTATAAAATTATTGTTTGGCCGAATATTTACATTTTCGAATTTACAATTGAATACTTTTAAGATAGCGGAATACCATTAGGTATAATTATAACCTATGTCAAATTTTATTCTGCATAATTTAGTAAAGCATAACGTTTATAAATTTTATCATAGATTCGGTGTTTGTGGTCAGTGGGTTAGGTGAGGTTAGTATTATAACATATACTAGCTGCGATGTATGCCAAGAGACGGTTTTGATTGTGAACTTTTTGCAATATGATGGTTCTGCTTTTTAATTATTGTGGATATAAAATTTATGCCTTAAGATGATTCTGGCTTACAAAATTATGAGTTTGAATGCTAAATGATTTTCTGCGAAATTAAGTTTATGCCATCTGCTGGTATGCAAAATATTATTAGTTTAATAACAAAGTAACATTACATTAATTTGTACCTAAATATTAATAAATTAATATTATATTAAGGCTCTAACATTACTTGTTTAAAATTGTTTATGCAGTTTAAAATAGGTACATTTGTACCCTAACGCCGAGTATTATTTAAGCAACACAAGCTTATAGTTGTTACGATATAGATAAAAATAAAAAATATATATTTATTTACTAACTAAGGTAACTAGGGTATTCCGAAACAGACTATTCTCATGTACTGAAAACGCAACGATGGCAGGATATTTTAGATATTAATTAAGAATTGTGTACAGAATATTTTTGTCATATACATAATGATACTTATACTGTGTCTATATAATAAATATAAGGTTTATAGACTGAATTATTTCTCTCTATGTTGATTAAAATTTAGGAGAATTGGGTTGGTTTGGTAGCAACACTACCTTTTATCTTTGGAATCCATATTAAGTCGTTATTCTCGGTTGCATCTGCAGTCGTTAGCACCCACCAATTGGCACCCGAGCGGCGTTGAGGGTCACGGCCCAATCTCCTTATTATCCATAGAGAAGGCTTGTGCCTCAGTAGTGAAGACATTAAAAACGAAAACTGCTTTGTGTTTTGACCACAATTTCGATTTCCATATGTTGAAAGAAAACAAAGTAAAACCCTGATGACTTAATGCCGCTGTCTTCTACGCACACGGCTCGTGGTAGTAAGGTAATCTATTAGCGAAAAGCAAATTTGACCAGCAAACATACTGAGTAATTACTGTAGTGGCTTACGTTGTGACGCACACCCCATGACTTCAGTCTTTAAGAGGACTCCATTCAAAATGGTAATACGTTTGCTAGTTCGAAATTTGAGTGTAGTGTTAATTCTTACGCAACAATGTTAAATTTATCAAAATCTATGAAGGATAATGCAACCGACTTGCAACAGTGGACTCAACTTCTACAGGAAACCGTCAACCATAGGCCCGATTGGATCCGTATCCTATACCTGATCATACTGTTTGCTATCTTTGTCGTTGGTGTGACTGGTAACCTTCTAACATGCGTCGTGATATACTTCAACAAAACCATGCACACCGCCACCAATTGTTATCTCTTTACTTTAGCTGTATCGGATTTATTGGTCTCTTTTGGTATCATATTAGAGATCATTGAACATACCCACTATGATGATATACTTGAATACCGTGAAAGTGTTTGTAAAGTCCACTTTTTCTTAGTTGTGACATTGTTCCATAACGGTATCCTGATCATGACTGCTTTATCCATCGAAAGATACATAGCCATATGGCATCCTCTCTTGCTGAACTCGAGACCACTATGGAAAAGGATAATGAAAATAATAATTTTCATATGGACACTGGCTATATTGGAGACGTTCCCAGAAGTGTTTACAGTTGAACTGATCAAGACTCGATCATTATCCATATGTTGTATAGTGCCGTCGAATTTTGCTAGATGGCTTAATGGTGTTTTGGCCGTGGTAAACTTCATAATACCTCTGACAATTATGATATTTGTGTACGCAGCCATTGCTGTTAAAGTGAATATGGCCCAAAGAAGTACGCAGCCTAGGGATAAGATTTTCAATCACCGCAACAACACGAAAAAGGTTAATAAGCTTGTTGGTAAGTACATTTGTTTTATTAAAACTTTTAATCTGAAAACACTGTTAGAACTATATTCTACAGGGCGTCCCACGGGTACCTCACACGGAGGGAAAGTATATTAAATATTGAAGATAGAATATTTTACCGAAAGAAGACATCATTTTATTTTTAATTATAACTAGAACTGCATTCACAGATTTTTTTAAAATCGCCTGCTGAAACGGGGAATCAAACTCGTGAAATTTCGAAAAAAAAACATGACATGTTTTATGATAACCATCGAAAGAGTTAATCATAGCAATTATTTTTCGCTAAATAACATAGCACTTTAAATGAAAGAAAAGTCATAAACATTACACATTTTATTAAAAAATATTCAACAAAAAGTAATAAAAAACGAAACGGTGTAAGAAAAAATAATAATTTAATGTATCAAATGTTTAAAATGTGATCCGATTTGTTGTATGCAAATTCTCACTCTATTAATGTTTTCTCTGTCTGTCGATTTCATTATCTTCGCGTGGTGAATGTTTGTAATAATACGTCTGAGTTAATTTTGTAACTCCTGCACACTCAAAAAAAATCCAGTGCGGTCTGGGGATCTGGGGATCTCGCTGGCCATCTTATTTGTCCATAAGAACCGATCCAGGAAGGAAAGTGTTCATTAAGTAACTCGGCAGTTCTCCTACTGTTAAGAGCCCCATTTTGCTAGAAAATGAGATTTCGTCGATTTGCACCAGGAAGATTATTGATCTCACCTCTTAAAATATTAAATATTTCTAAATATCTTTCCGTATTTAGATCCCTTTTGTAAAAATGTATTAAGAGAACCCGGTTTTTAACTAAAATGAAAAACACAAAAAAAAGAAAGTACCCATAGCACGAACCAATATCGAATTCGAATAGTTTTCGAGTGCGAAATGTGATTGTCAAATGTGTACTGATTTTTAGTTTTCATTAGGTACTTTGTGGCGCTGCTGTATAAGTTTCGATACAAAATTTGACATTGACATTTCACATTCGCAAACTATTCGAATTCGATAATGGTTCGTGCTAGGGGTACAGACGCTTGAAAATGTATGTGTTCCATTTTCGAATTATGATTTTTACAAATTTCAGCCAATCGCATTGTAACTGAGTTCAAAAAGAAATGCATACGTACTACAGTTTGCATATCACTTTATTATTTTTATCACGCAATAAGACATTCCTTTCATTTAAAATGCTATGTTATTTAGTAAAAAATAATCTTTATGATAAACCCTTTCGAGGTTATCATAAAATATGTCGTGTTTTTTTTCGAAATTTCACGAGTTTGATTCCCAGTTGTAGCAGACGATTTTGAAAAAATCTGTGAATGTAGTTCTGGTTATTATTAAAAATGAAATGATGTCTTCTTTCAGTAAAATATCCTATCTTTAATATTTAATATACTTTCCCTCCGTGGTAGCCGTGGGACGCCCTGTATAAGTTATTGTAAAAACTATTTTCAAATTTTTAAATATCGTTCTTTTATTATTAAAAAACAAATGTTTTTTTTGTGAAAATTTTTAAAAGATATTTACAAAAAACTAGGAACTTACTTTCTGTTCATGAATTCGCTTATCGGGAGTATTCTAAGTTAAGAACATCTTATGACATGCCATTTATGTAGGTGCGATCAAAATTTACTTTTGGTGTTACTTAAGCTTTAGTTATCTCTTTGCTATGAATTGCCTAAGTGTAAGTTGGTGGAAGTAGGCATAAGAAGCATGATAATTTGCTCTACCTGATGATAAATATTCAACCACCATGACATAAGAACGGTACTTCGGTCATTTGCGGATGGTTCACCCTTACTGATTTCTTCATCATTATTTACTTTGTCTACATCTCGTCGTGTGACGAACTCGTCACACATCCCGTGTGGGACACAGTTGCGTGGCTTATTAACGTGAGATCTGGTTTTCAGTAGCACTGACTCTGTCTTTCATCATCTGCTGGCTACCGATCTTTACTATGAGGGTCCTGATTGTCTTCGTTGACTTTCCACTATCGCCGCAGCTTTTACAGGTACCTTTTTAGATTTTTAACTTGTCTCAATTTTTAATTAACACTAACATACTTTTATTATCGTTTTATTAACTAGTTGCAAAATGTATCTAAACAACTCATTCGCTATTCAGACGAATGCACTGGCTATAGGTATACTTCCGAGATCTATAAGGACATGTCGAATTCTTTATAGTATTTCCTTGGCTTAAAGGCAGCGCCCTTTCTCCAGATTGTAGGTACGTGTAATGTTAACTGCTATAGTTTTAAGTACTTACTAACTAAAGTGTTAGTTGCGATATTTTTGTATATATCAAAAATTAAAAGAATTGTCAATTTAATTTCTTTCAAGTATTTTGCTGCTTCACGTTATTGTAAAAAAATATTTACCCCAGCTTGAAATTGAATTAGCACAATTGTATCGCACTTTTAGGTTCAATTACATTACATTTAAAAGGTGAATGAGTTGGTTCATTATGTATGACAATAGTAACAATTTTAAGGGTTTGGCCTTAGTTAAATTTGCTGGTAGGTAATGTTTTTGACGAGCTAGCAGTAATAATTACGGGTTATTTTTTGCAAGCCTTCTCTTATAAGCTTGTGATCTTTGGAGGATTCCTTTACCGTTGTGGTCACTGATCTATTAGGTCAATACCTACTTGTATAAGAAAGATGCAATTGGATTTTTTAGTGATATTTCCAAAGCATTTGATTGATCGAGTGCAAAACGTTTTCGTTAATAAAACCGAGTCTGCTGGAGCCCCTGTAGTTATGGGTGTGCCCCAGGGATCAATATTGGGTCCACTGTTGTTTCTTATTTACATTGATGATTTTCCCTAAATCTTTTTTGTAAAACAGTGCTATTTGCAGATAATACTGCTTAAGTTTTAAGGTTAGTTTTTAGTTAACAGAGGCAGCAAATGCTCAGATTATTTAATTAGTGCACTTTCCAAAATAGTAAATTGGTTCATAATAAATATATCTCTCCTTAAACTCAAAGAAAACTAATTTCATAAAATGTTCTTTAGTAAATGTATTACATGTGGGAACATCGTTACCGAGTATTAATGGTGAAGTAGTATCTTTAGCGGAAAATACAAAATTTGTAGGTATAACAATACAAAAGAGATTGTAATGGAATACTCATATTGATGCCCTATCTAGCAGACTAAGCTGAGCAGCGCAGAATCCTTATTTTTCACTGTAAAAAATAAGGATTCTGTCTGATGTTGAAACAGCAAGACTTATCTACTTTAGTTATTTTCAAGTATTATGTCTTATGGCATCTTGTTGTGTGGATTAGCTGCTAATATAGAATGATTTTTTCTGAACAGGTGGTTAGAAGAAAATATATAACGACGATTCGGAAGAGCTTTTAATAAATCAACTTGAATAAAGTTTATTTTCTTTTCATTTCACTTGCTAACTGCTGACTTAGACCAGATTAAGGAAGTGGATTCTTTGGGTGTAAATAAACCGTTTCAAATATTGTCATAGTTGCTTGGTCTCTCGAACCAAATGAATAAATGTGTAAGAGCTAAGATAGCGTACTTAAATTTCAATATAAGAGCTATTTTCATGTTATTTTTGCAAAATTCATGGATTTTCTTAATGCGACATAAGTACATCATTGATTGATGATTATGCTATTGTTTCAGAACTGGGATATACTATTTATGCTGACATCCACGAACAGTTGGTTCACTATTGTGCTCAATCCTATACTTTTCAGTCTGATGTCCACGAAATTTAGGGAAGCACTTAAGGTAGAAATGATTCTCTTTGTGTTATTAAACTTCAGCAGCCTTTTGCTCTCCAAATGACATGATATAAGAGGGGAGGCGGCCAATGTTTCTTCCATACCAACATTCACGACTAATTCCTCGTTGATTTTAATCACTAAAGAATTGATTTTCATACATATAATATAATTTTACTCATTTTTTGCTTCTATGTCTTCCCTTTTCGATAATTTCTCTTGTTTAAAGAAACTTCCTTCCTGCCTTCAAAAATGACAAAAATAAACAATTTTTTATCACCACTAACGACGTCTAGTGTGTAGATTTAATAAGCATTTACAAAAAAGCAAAACATAGAGGCATAATATATCTACTTATTATTCTATGGGTAAAATTTCTTTTACATATACTTAATAGTCGAGAAGGAAATCATCGAGAACAAAACCTCGAATTTTGCATTCTTATACGCAATTTTCAGCGTTAACGACTGTTGTCCCCATCATGGTATTTGCCAATGCGTGACAGCAATAGTTTTCTCAAATACCTATTTCTCTAATGTCTCTCAGCTCGCTCTGCTCTTCTCTATCGGAATGTGAGGTAACAAGTTAAAAATTTGCAGAGCCCTTGTTTTTGATATAAGCAGTAACGTGTCAAAAGACGATATGGGTGGGGTGTCAGGCAGCTGAAATATTCGAGGTCAAAGGTAAATGACTTTTCTCGCTTTCTCCGTTTCTACTCTTATTGGGACCTATTAAGAAATTTCTCGAGATATAAATAGAACGCAAAAAAAACTTTCAACAAAAAATATGTAAAAGCGCAAGCAAAATCCCTTCGCCATAACATCTTTCAGAATGGATTCGAATGTGGTAAGAGTGAGAGAAATGTCATTTTTAATCGTTTGACCTCAAATATATCAGCTGCCCTATTCTCCCATTGTGACATATCACGCGTTACTTATTATGACAAAAGGGCTCTCGAAATTTTCAGCTTTTTTACCTCACATTCCGAGAAACGGAGTGGTTAGGTACTTCCTCTATGATTCCGAGGTAAAAGTCTTATTTGACTGGACTACATGCCCACCTCTCTTGAATATGAATAAGACTATGGCCACACAACGGGGATCCTCGCTTGGCGTAAAGAGCTAAGCTTCAACGAAAGCAGTTACGAAACTACGGTTTCGAAGACGGCAGAAGAGAAGCTTCTTACTTGCACTCTGTTCACGGTTAGAGCGGACATACACGAGCAGCTTGAAGCAGTCGGGATGGACTATGTTAGGGTGCTTCTACACGGTGGAAGTAACTTGTGCATGTTGTGGCACTTGCGCTAGTTATATTCATTTTGAAAACATCGTGCACATGCGCGGGTCAAGCAACTCGAGCATGTACCAGAGCGCAACTAATCCTGCAGGTCACTTGCGCATGTTACATAAATAACTTGTGCATGTTTTAAGACTGCTTACACAAGTAGGCCTTGTTACTTGCTCCAGTCATTTGCACCATGCACAAGAACAAGCGAGTAACTTAAACAAGTAACTGGTGTACCCGACTCACGTGAATAACCAGCATCTTTACTTGCACCATGTAGATCACCCTTAAATAACAGTTTCAAGCTGTTGAATCTGACTGCTAGAGTGGTCCGTGTATGTTGATTACTAGCTCACTTCTCGAGCAATCCGAGTATGGACTCTTATGAGACTCATATGAGTATTTTATTCACTACTTCTGTATATTTATATTTGACTACATGTTTGTTTTTATTACAGTCATTATGGGACGCCAAATTCAAGAGAAAACAAACGCAGTTGTGTGTTATTACGTAAAAAAGCACACTGGGTAATTGCTTTTACCGTGTTCAATAGAAAATGCGTGAGTAAGCAATCAAGATATCTGCGAGTTTGTACTGATAACGGAGTTGTCTTATATTTGTTGACATACGTTGGTATAGTAAGTTAAAACTACCTTATAAAAGCAAATAATTGCTTTGTGCTAAAAAATGTCTGCACGCAATAAAAAAACCAATAATTGTTTTATGAAAAGATATGTCGGAGTAATAAATAAAAGAACAATAGATACTCATAATATTTGTAATTAATTTAAGTCATTTCTTTTAATCTAAAGAAAATATAACTAGAAAAAATTCCACGCGGACCAGGCAGCAGACGGGACTCGAACCCGCACCCTTCGCAGTCCGGGTGAATGCACTGACCAATTATGCTACCGCGGCCCTGATGGCCACATCGAAATTCTTTTAGCCATTCTTAAGCTGCAATGCAGCGCCATCTCTTCGCATTATAGGTAACCCACAATGTCAAATGAATACTTTTACAAGTATTAAACATTTGAAAGAAGAGATAGCAATTATAGTTATAATTTTTATTTTTTTGAGCATGTAATTGCTTGATGTTTAAATCTAAAGAAAATATAACTAGAAAAAAATCCACTCGGACCAGGCAGCAGACGGGACGCGAACCCGCAGATGTGTGTTATTCGCACCCTTCGCAATCCGGGCGAATGCACTGACCAATTATACTACCGCGGCCCTGATGGCCACATCGAAATTCTTCTAGCCATTCTTAAGCTGCAAGGCAGCGCCATCTCTTCGCATTATAGGTATTTGCTTTAATTTAATAGATCTTAGTAGTAAGTTGGAGACGTTTATCACACAATTGTTTATACATATTTACAACATTTAATTTAGATTTAATTATACATTTCTCTTTACATTTTTAACACTGCATTAAGAAACGCTTAAGTACTTACACACTTTTGATACATACACTCTCCTCCTAAATCACTTCACCTCCAATTGTAATTAATTGTGTAATAAAAAAAAGTGTTATAATGTTACACAAATTAATTCATCGCTACATTTACAATAGTTTTTTATCAAACACCTAATACATTTTATTATACTTTCGGTCATCAATAATTTAAAATTATACACGCTCTGTTCATTGCAACATATACCTTTTTTCCCTTTGTGGTGTATATGTAGACTTTATCCCCCATATTAATAAACGAGGAATAAGCTTTGACTAGTTACACCGTGTTTTGTTCATATCACTTATTCTTTGTTTTTTATAAGGGGGTATGAGTTAAATATAATTTAAAACTCTCTATATGCTAGTTCTTGTTCTGAGGATTTTATCTATTACTAGATGACCCAGCGAACTTCGTACCGCCATAAACATAGGGGCAGGTGGTAGAAGAGAAAATTTAGGGTTGTATGTATTTTTTAATACCACATTATAAAAAAATAAATATTGTCCAAAAACAAATTTTAGGGGTGTGTAAAGTAGTGTTCTATCAATTTCCTGGGATAACATTCCTCCTAACCCATATGAGAACACTACGTTACAATACCCAATAGTTTGAATTTTGGCGTGAAGGCGCATTGTAGGTTTCAGAACACTACGGTACAGGTGGACAACCATTATCACTTAAGGATATGAAAAATAGACAGTAGCCGATTCTCAGACCCACGGAATATGCATATAAAATTTCATCAAAATCGGTCAGGCCGTTTCGGAGGAGTATGGTAACTAACATTGTGACACGAGAATTTTATATATAAGATTGAATGATGTATGAGGTTATTCTATCAAATTTCTTATGTTTCCATAACCATTATGTGTAGATATAAGATAAATATGACTAACATAATGAATTTCTAAATAATATAAATATATTGTTTTCTATGCATACTTAAAATACAAAACAAAAAAATATTTATCCAGACGTCAACCATAACCCCATAATAATAATAAATATTACCAACACACACACCAATTAGCCTAGCCCCAAAGTAAGCACTATAAGACTTGTGTTATGGGATACTAGGGTAACGGATAGAATACATAACATATATGTGTATAAGTATATTTATATAGAAATATTAAACATATTAAAAATCCATGACTGGAGTACAAATGCACGTATTCATCACACAAACATCTGCCCCCACCGGGATTCGAACCCGGGACCTCTTGAGTCGGCGACACCATGAAACCCGGCGTACAAACCACTCGGCCACGGAGGTCGTCATTATAGCTTGCCAGAATCGATCATGTTTCTCAATTTGAACTTTTGCACCTTCCCGGAAGCGGTCTTGGGGTACTCGTCCACGTATTTCACTATCTTGGGGATCTTGAACCGCGCCAGTTTGCCGGCGAGGTGGTCCGCGATGTGTTTCGCCGTCACCGTACACCCTGGCTTCACTCGTAGGACCGCACACAGATCCTCGCCTAGTCGGTCATCTGATATTCCTACAACCTAGAAAAATATTATGATATAATAATATAATATTTCCAACACTCACATCAATTAGCCTAGCCCCAAAGTAAGCACTGTAAGGCTTGTGCTATGGGATACTAGGGTAACAGATAGAATACACATATACAGTACATATTTAAGTATATTAATATAGAAATACATATTAAACATCCATGACTGGAGTACAAATGCTTGTATTCATCACACAAACATCTGCCCCCATCGGGATTCGAACCCAGGACCTCTCGAGTCGGCGACGCCATGAAACCCGGCGTACAAACCACTCGGCCACGGAGTTCGTTAAATATCGAAGCAGCCTCCACCTTACAGAAGACCACAGTATAATAACAGTAGCTTTTGGTTCTACTGGTGAGTAGGGTTCCAGGGCTTCGCAGGATAGGAGTCTGGGTTCAGATCAGCAAGGTGAGTCTGGGTTCAGATCAGCAAGGTGAGGCTGGCTGAAGCGGCACACTTTCTGTTGCATCATCTATCATTGCGACTCCACTTATACTTAATTAACATCAGTGGTGTAGGGCAATTTGTTGCGCCTCGTATAATAAAAAAAAAACTTAAACAAATCGTTATTAATTTTAACAACACATGTCGTTATTCGTGAATCAACAATATTTCAAACTGCAGGAATGCCTGTAAACGTAATTTTAATGTGTGTGTGACAGAAATGACGCGTTTTTATTAGCCAACTCTCGGTCTGGGCGCGGCAATTGCGTATTTCGTGTAAGAGTGAAGAAATTAATAGCATGAATAAAGGAACGCATCAGAGAGAAAACATACTGCCCATACTCACAACTATTATCATTATCATCAGCCTATTAAGAGGGCAGTGTTTATTGAATTTAATTTAATTAAAACATATGGCAAATGGTATTGAAATATAATCAAATATGGGAAATATTCTACAGTTTTAACTGAAAATAATGAGCAATTACAAGTTCAACGTCAAGGTATTATTGGAATAAAATTTTGATGCTACATATTACATGCGAACAGTGCAAGCTTGTTAAAACACTAAGGAAATTAGCACGTATCTAAGTTGAAGTATGTTTAATGTGAGTAATATACATGACTTGTCCTTATTAACAGCCTTTTGTGGTGGATGTACGCGTTTGTCGGGCATGTATGATTCACAAAATGAGTATCCAAGGAACCTTTTTCGTAGCAAAATTGGTCATTTCTTTTGATGATTTCACCCTGTCTGTGGAAATAACTAGGGTTTGTAACCAAGTAATTATTACTTTTATCTACACCTATGCTTTAGAACCTCTATTAAAGATTCTAAAACAGCTTATTGCCAACATTAAGATATCCAATGTCAAAAATTCATTCCATAATAACACTCATTCGCTTTTTAAATCCCTTCCGCGCTAAGGGCTTGCTCATCGGACAGCCACAATTTTCACTGCGACTTTTCGATGCGTAGTTTTATGAATAAAAAAAGGAACATAGTCATTCACACTCGATTCACAACCACAGTGCCGAAACTTTGAATGAATTTTAAGTTCTTAGCTTAGATTAAAACAAAAAGGGTAGATACGGTACGCTCATACTTGCATCAAACAAACAAAAACTGAGCCCACGGCAGCGCGAACGGGACGGCGAGATCCGCGTCACTGCTTTACCGACCCGAACGAAACAGCACGTTAAGTTTCAATGGCAGCGGGAACGAGACGGCAAGATCCGCGTCACTGCACTACCGACCAATCACGCGACCAGTACTCGACGTCACTACCGATTAAGATTCAAAACAGACAGCAATTTTTATGAAAAAACATATTTTATAGTACTTACGAATGAAAAGTCATGCCGTGGGTTTTATTTCTAGTTCTTGAGCAATTTGAGCACTTTTTAAAAACACACTTAGGCATTCTTTTATCAAATAAACACAAAATATTAGCAATATTTCTTTTTGGTGTTCACATGTACGTCGTTTGCATGTCAAGTTGTGACTAAAGCGATTAGGGTCGTGGACCACAATTCATGCGGATCACTTTTGTGAGGCTAGTGCCGTATCTACCCATTTTGTTTTAATCTAAGGTTCTTAGAACGTCCCATGGTTTCAGAATCTTTTATAGAGGATTCATATCATGGGGGTAAATAAAGTCTTGTATGCAACTGTTCATATTAAGGTATTAAAACATTCATGTTATCACACGAGGCGCAGCCAAGTTTCGAAAACCACTTTCGTATTACTATTAAAAATAGCTCTCATTATGCAACAGTTTCATAAATATTAAGGCTTTCCTTTTATATACCCTTTTATAGATAGGTCCGACAAATGACCCCACCCCACCTGATGTTAAGAGACGGTGAAGTCCAGACGTGAAGATAGTTTTACCTGCCACACCAGCCATCCTCACCTAGCCGGCCTGCATGTTGCTTCTTCACGCCTCATAAAGGATTTCAGGTTGTAAGAAGAACGGAACACGCGAGCAGACAGAGCGTTCCATTTACGGATAGTGCGACAAAGAAATGAGTCACCAAATTTCTTTGTACGCGTTGGAATTGTGGCCACAGTTAGACGGTGACAACGTAGGCCAGCGCGCATGGTCCTCAGAAGGAAAGTAGAAGGTGGAATAAGAGAGAATTACTCCTCAGAATACACGCCGTGGTACAGTCCATAGATCTTTAACATTTATTCAATAACTTTAACTTTTTTTTTGGAATTCCTCAGGAAACTTACATTTCTTCGGGTTAAAATATATTTCATGTGTCAGTCGAGAATCTTGGTACCAAATTTCATCCAAATCCGTTCGGCCGTTTTTGCGTTTTGTTTGTTACTCAAAACATAAACTGTCATAGTTATAACATTAGTAGTATATAGCAGTAAGGAACCATTCGTGCGCGAACTTTCACACTAAGGCGTCGTTCTAATTGGCAACGATCGTACGATGATACGATGCGTTCTTGTCGTGCGATGATTTTCAAACATACAGATTTCTTCAGAGGTGTCTTAATACAGCTTGTAAGCCTTCGCACGAGCACAGGTACTTTATTTTCATCGCACGATGAGATCGCACCGCGCCATCGCACTATCGTTGCCAATTGGGACGACGCCTAACCCGTAGACTTGATGCAAGAGACAATACGTCAAGAATGGAATTTGCCTAACAGACGATTCTTACCTGACTGTCAGTGATGTCAGGGTGCGTATTCAGCACGTCTTCAATCTCCTTGGGCGCGATGTTCTCACCGCCCTTCACGATGATATCCTTGATCCTGCCCACGATGCGTCCGTAACCGTCCTTACTGAGTTTGAATTCGTCACTGCAAATACAAACATGTAAGTATATAAATAGGATAGGATATATAATAAGTATAGGATATATGTCAATATATGCTGCAATTGCCTAAAAAAATGAAATAAAAAAAAATACGGCACGAAAAAACTCCGACATGACGAAAGACACGACCGACACCCGAAAACAAAGTATTTTTAAAGCTTATATATGAAGACTAGCGGCTGCCCGCGACTGCGTCTGCATTAACTTTAGTTTTTTGAGGATCCCTCAGGAACCTAACATTTTTTCGGGATTAAAAAATATCCTGTCTCAATCCAGGTAATAAACTATAGATCCGTTCAGCCATTTAACGTGAAAAGGTAACAAACATACAAACTTTTGCATTTCTAATATAAGTAGGATAAGAAAAAGGTATTGTAGTCGGGGGACCGATCTGTGAACCTTTTTTTAACACCCGATAATATTGTGTGTCACAATTCTTTAAAATATTTTAAGCAACAAGTGAAGATAAAATTAAAATAGAATATAAATCACTGTTTGTTCTTGCATTAGTGCTGTTAGTTTTCTTAATGTATATGTACAATGCAACGGTGATCTTTTTGAGTGACTGACAGTTCGGGGGAAGTGGGGGGGGGGGGGGGCTTTTGCGTAAATGACATACAAAAAAATACGATGGCGGAGATAGCGGTACTAGTTCCGATTTTCGTCGCATTCGTAAGGATCCTTGTCGGTCGACCAGTAAGCACGTGTGAAAATAAATACGGAGGTGCAATAAGGAACACATTAAATAAAATATGAACCAGGTGATATATATGAATAGATTACACACATATTAATAATATTTACAATAAATAACATATATTTAAATAGACACATAATTATGCCAGTCAAATATGAGAACGCAGATTAATGGTCTTGAGATAATGGTCACGCACCAATCCCTTAAATGCAAGTTTGTTTGGAGCTTTACGTACCTATATTGGGGGCAAGTCATTTCAGACTTGTACAACCGTGACAGTGAGAGAATAAGTGTCGCCGCACACGGGCCACACGCCACAGCCACAAACGCCGCCACGAGAAGCTAGAAGCGGCAACTAAAGTGGCTGAAGCGCGCGACAGCGGCCGACTAAGGTAAGGGAGACAGGGGTGGGGATTCGCGCGAGTGACGTGTGGCGGCGTTTTGTATCGGCGCATTAAGTAGCCGGTGCGGGCCACAAGAAGCGAGCAACGACGATTTGTAGCGTGTGGCGGCCACCGGCGTACCGTGTGTGGCGAGTCCATATAAAAAGTATGAAAACTGTAAGAAATATGCGGGTGGCGGCGTTTTGTGGTTATGGTCGGTGGCCCGTGTGCGGCGACACTAAGAGAGAACTTTCACTTTCACACACTAATCGGAATCGTTACATAACCTATATATAAATATATAAAATCGGTAACGCGCCTCGCCCCTGGACAAACTTCCGAACCACATTGCGGTGCGTGGTCAACTTGCGATTCCCACGTTTACATCTCTCCGTATCTTACCTGGCTACCGTATCTCCGCACCCTAGCTTACGTCTTTTCGTTCACGACCTTCTCGCAGCTTCACGTTCAGATTCAAATTGATTGAATTGGTGCCACCTACCCATCAACCAGTGGTCGCCTAGCCGTAGCCGAGTCGAAGTACTGGAGCTGCTTATCCGCTTACGTTACATGCTTGAGTTAGATGGACGCCTGTCTGACGACAAACAGAAAGGCGAGTCGGTATTGAACCGCTTCCAAGATGATATGTGAGCTATGCTATGATCTTTACCCTGTTAACTCACCCAGTACTGAGCCACCCGTCGTTTGAAAGCGTTTCCCTGGTCTTCTCTGGCTCAAGCCAATAGCACAGCATATTGTTGTAACCGCGGGACAGTAACTCACCCGCGCTGCCGAAAGGCACCGTCTGCCCCTTGTCATCTACAACCTGAAATCCATCTATTTAAATAGATATGGGGTGCAAATTAGTCTTTATTACTTTAAACTAACAATTTTCAAGATAACAAGTTTTTGGTCACCCATCCAAAGATCGGCCATTGCAAGAGTTTTCATGGATGCAGGCCGATGGCACTAACCACCTGCACCTTTGAGCTCCTTGCGACCGTAAATATCACTCTAGTATAAACTAACTTCATATAAATGAATGTGATTATAAATTTATCACTAACCTTGACCTCGAGATGATCCTGTAGATATCCAACCGTCTCGGCGACTGTGTCGACGCTGTCGTCAGGCATCGACTGGAATATGCACGCAGTTGATTCACTCAGTCCGTACAGGCACTAAAAATAAACCATTACCAAATAATTTGTAACCGAAACCTCAAGTAATAGGGTAAATTTTAAAGTTCATTATCAATCAGTCTAATAATGTTCACCACCATGGGCGGATCGGTGGAAGCTAACAACTGCAGATGCAGCTGGGACAAACGGTTTTATTTCTAATCATCTTTTCCAAAATATTGACTATCCCGATTCCACTATCATCTCCACTTTGTGACGTACATAAATTGAATCCAATAAAATAATCATGTCACAACTCATGATATATTATCAAATAGTTCCGGTGACCATTTGTGGACATCATCATAAGTTCCACTTCACTAGGCAATAATTTCCGAGAATCAAAGATGTATTTGCTATAATGTTGCATGGTTCCCTCGATCCCTCCAGGGTATGGAACCACCACGGGAACATAATCGGGAGTTCAAATAAAAAAACACTTATGAAAATCATCAAAATTCATGTATTAAAAAAAAATATTTGTGTACTGTTACCATTTAACCTTCTGCGACTGACGTGGTAGTCCATCAGACTCCGGGTTATATTAAATTCTGTTTATTACCGTTAATTTTAAAATTTGAGCGTCACCGCTCTTAGTACCTCCCTGAATTGTGTTCATGCGACGATCAGTGTACTTAGAATGGTCCCAGCGACCATTAGGCAGGTACCCACGAGACTACCGCATCATTGTTAAAGTATCTATAAGACTACAACCTCAATAAAATGGTTATATTTTCATAGCGTCTCCTAAACAGATTTTCTTCACATAACATTCAAGAAATAAATAATAATACTGACGACCTCCGTGGCCGAGTGGTTTGTACGCCGGGTTTCATGGTGTCGCCGACTCGAGAGGTCCCGGGTTCAAATCCCGGTGGGGGCAGATGTTTGTGTGATGAATACGAGCATTTGCACTCCAGTCATGGATGTTTAATATGTATTTTCTATATAAATATACTTATATATGTACAGTATATGTATTCTATCCGTTACCCTAGCATCCCATAACACAAGCCTTACAGTGCTTACTTTGGGGCTAGGCTAATTGGTGTGAGTGTTGGAAATATTTATTTATTTATTATTTATAATACAGGAAAACTAGCTACACTGTAATCATACAAATGTTAGCACTCAGACCATTCGGAATTGCTTACACAAGGCTGGATTACGAGCACGGAGGTCTTGGCGAGCACCTTTGAATTCACGGGAACGGCAGCGACGGAGATTACAGTGGGCTAGGCTCCGGCAAAACGAAGAAGACGAAGAAAACATTTGGCAAAACTGCCTCTTCGTTGACGAATCGCGAATCAATACTCATGCAGATAACCGACGTGTCCATGTTTGGAGAAGACCTGGAGACTCTGAAAGGCAAAGAACGACCACTGAAACGGTTCAGCAAGGCGGGAAATCAGTGTCCTTTTGGGGTGGTATTATGATTGGGGCTAGAACGCCTTTAATCCCTTATCAAGGCTTCATGACGCCAGTCAGATACAAAACAGTCGCTATTGATGGAATCGTCAGACCTTTCCGAGTAAACCATGGCCACCAATTTGTACTGCTTGAAGATAATGCGCCCATACATCGAGCTCAACAAGTCAATGCTGCTCTCCGAGAATACAAAATCACAAGGTTAGACTGGCCTGCCAGCTCTCATGACATAAACCCAATAGAGCACGCGTGGGATGCTCTTAAGCGAGCTGTTTGGAACCGGTAGCCACCAACCAAGACAGTGCCGCTGCACAGGGAAGCTGTTCAAGAATGGGACAGGTTACCACAAGAAATGCTGGATAACTTGATCCTTAGCATACCCAGGAGGATCTCCGCATGTGCTCGAGCCAGAGGAGGAGTTATTTTGTATTAGATAAACAACAATTTATTAATAAAAGGTTTTTAAGTTTGGTTAAAATATCTTTGTATTTCTATCATAGTTCTATTACAATCGCCCTAAGATTGAATCGTTAAATTTATTATACTAAAAAATAAAAATAATTTTATTCTTTAATTACAGAAAGTGTATTTTTAAATAAAAACGACATAACGTAAACATTTTTTCTTGATTAAGTTAAATTTTGAAAATATATCAGCTTTTGCAAGTGATCTCAAACTTTTTTTGATGTGTGTATATATCATATTTTTTAGACTGATTACTGATATTGTATTTTTTTTAAATGTCTACTGTTAAATTGAAAAAAGTTAGTTTTTTTATTATTTTCAATGCCATTAATGTTTTAGTAGCTTATATACCCTCTTTAATTTTGAAAATACAAATTGTTTTGTTCGTTTGAAGTTTATTTAACATAAAAATTGGCTAAAACTATAATTCGTATAAATAAAAATAATGCATAACTTAATTCTTTTAAAATATTAGCTAATGAAATGGTGTTTCGTGTACCACCACTACCACGTCAGTAGAATTATATTTTTTTTTTATAATTCAGTTACGTCAATCGCAGGAGGTTAAAAGTGGATTTATCAAATGATTTCTGTACCCCAAGCACGAACCAATATCGACGAATTCGTATCATCTGCGAATCTAAAATGTCATTGTCAAATGTGTACTGATTTTAAGTTCTCGTTACGTACTTTGTGCCGGCCGCTGCTGTTCAAGTTTCCATACAAAATTTGACATTGACATTTCTGTTTGAAAACTATTCAAATTCGATAATGGTTCGTGCTAGGGGTACGGATCGTGTAAGTGTAAGAAACAATGAGTTTACACTCCATAAAGTTCAGACCTTGACCGATTGGACGTTTAAGTACTTTTGCATGTGTCTTATAAGCTGCGGACTGCACGGCGCGCCGGCTGACATCGCAATCTTCAGATCTGGTGGTGGAATACCCTTGGCTTTGACCTGCAAAGCAAATGAAATGAAAATAAAATCAAGTCGATTTATTATTTAAGCTCTTTTGAATGGTTTATACTTTTTGAACGAGTTGTAAGTATCTTAAACACAATGTTTACCAATGAAGTTGGATGTGTCATTTTATCTATCTTTGCACGCGGTGGGGATGGCAGAAAGAACACATGTATCATTTAATAAAATCATACCTGAGACAACATGTCTATAAACATTGTAGGTGTACCAGTTATAGTCGTACATCTGAAACAAAATAAATGACTTGGCTTATAAATCCCGTGTCAGGATTGAATTTACCGATTAATTATTCTTTTTCTCCTCCATTTAATAAATTTAAACTATAGTTTATACCAAATATTTTTCCTATAGTTTAATCTCTTGGTTATTTATGGTTCTGTAATTTTTTTAAACTGCTTTCTGCTCTCGTCTGTGAGCTATGTCCCGTAAACCAATATGACCTGGCTGTTGTGATGGCTGAATCAGCTCCCTGACAGTTTTTAATTGTATGCAGTTCAAAATGATCATGTTATGAATACTTTGCCAAGAAAATGGATATGATAATATTATTTTGTTGCAACAAGAAACTCCAATTCAGACATCGCGACATGCCTCCCATGTAATCTCCCATGTTACAGATACAGAACGCGCCAAACTTCTGTTCTCTGAAGTTGCTTCGCACAGGTGTACAGTAGTATCGTTTAATTACACAATCTCCGTCCAACTATATACCTAGCTATCTTTTGCATTGGTCTTTTAATTGTGCAGTGTTCAGAGCGGACTAGAAGATTGGCGCGAGCTATATACGACTGTACACCTACGTGAAGCATATTCAGAGTGGAGTAGAAGTTTGACCTTTGGCGTGATCTGTACAACAGAGGTACGAACTTTGACAGCTCCATAATCGTATCGCATCGTCAGTTTCTATAAAACTGGATCTGCCAAAATTCGTGCTTGGATCTCAGATAGTGTCGTGTACCGGCTCTCTTACTTCTGAGTACAGCGCGGGCACGCTGTACGTCGGCACCGCGAGGATAACGGTGTAGCCGTGACTGTAGCCGCTCAGCAGCGTCACTATAGACCCCAGCGCGTGGAACAGAGGAAACTGTACTTTTACTTCTTGGAGTACAGCGCGTCGACGTTGGCGGGCACGTTATACGTCGGCACCGCGAGGTTGACGGTGCAGCCATGACTGAAGCCGCTTAGCAGCGTCACAACAGACCCCAGCGCGTGGAACAGAGGAAACTGTCCGCCTTCTTTTGTGAGTAAAGCGCGTCGACGTTGGCAGGCACGTTGTACGTCGGTGCCGCAAGGGTGACGGTGCAGCCGTGACTGAAACCACTCAGCAGCGTCACTATAGACCCCAGCGCGTGGAATAGAGGATACTGTTCGCTTACTTCTGTGAGTACAGCGCGTCAAAGTTGGCGGGCACGTTGTACGTCGGCGCCGCAAGGGTGACGGTGCAGCCGTGACTGAAACCACTCAGCAGCGTCACTATAGATCCCAGCGTGTGGAACAGAGGGACTGTCCGCTTACTTCTGTGAGTACAGCGCGTCGACGTTGGCAGGCACGTTGTACGTCGGCGCTGCGAGGGTGACTGTGCAGCCGTGACTGAAGCCGCTCAGCAGCGTCACTATAGACCCCAATGCGTGAAACAAAGGAGACTGTGAACAAATAATTTATTATTAAAATTAATCCGTACCTCCTTAGGTCCCTCAGCCATACCTTAAGAACTTTATCTATTGCATCTATCTTTTTTTTATAAAATTCTCGAATACTTTGTAGAAGGATCTTATAGGAAAAAATTGGTTGTCCTTAAAGTTGGACTATAATTTTACGTGCTAACGTGTCGTTTGCTGTTTTCCTCGGGGAAGTTTTGTGGGGCTATTTGTTCCGGTTCGTTTGAGCCCAAGCACGCCTCAGGGGACCAGGGGAGTAGGGCGTCAGGGGAATCAGGAGGGTAGGGGTAGGGTAGGTCAGGGAAGATCAGGAGGTAATAGGGCATAACCTCGCACACACCGCGGAATGTTAATCTAACACGTCACTCGTGACGTCACATTTTTTTAATAAAAAAAATACATATGTTACTTTTCTACTCACTAGGTGGACAAAACAGAACCCAAGGATCACTCGGTTGTCTGTCACAGTCGATTTGCTCGGAATCTACTGGATCGATCAAGTCGAAATTAGGTACATACGTGTTTGTCTGTTCTAACTTAACGTGTTGAATGAATTTCAAAATTTAGCTGTTTGTTCTCCCGAATAAATAAATGTACCTGAACGCCAACGTTGTGATGAGCTTCGTTGAAAATATTACGTTTTCCAATGAAGTAAATGTTATTCGCAACACCCATATTAGAATCCAAAACTGCTTTAGGGTTACCTGTAAAAATAAAAACCATACCTTACTTAGAAATAAAAAAAATGATTCCAGCTAAATGTACAGGAAATTCATACACCTATGAAATTCAGAGCAATGCAAATGATATTCTAATTATATATAAAAAGGAGTGACTATTAAACATATTTTAGATATGTAACCGTATGTACCATAGAGCAACACGGAAGGGAGTAGCTATAGCGACATAATAGTATTCAAATCATTCTGTCATTTTTTGCGGAAGGGTATATGCACACAAACGCAGTTTAACGTACACGCATATAAAACAAAACTGTAACTACGACTCTCACACATAAACAATGACACAATATATGTTCAAATCCTGCACACACATATCGTTTGTATGGCCAAATTGTATGCCCAACCCGTCAGAGGGTGTCTACTCCCCTATAGGCCGCGTCAGCCGCGTTGCTCTATGGTAACAACTTTCCTCTCGCTTTTCTTTATTTATTTAAGTGCTTATTAGTTCTATCATTTTTTATATGCACAGTACAGTAAACCATTTATTTGTCATATTTTTTCAAATACTCTATAATTACAATATCTAAACGAGAAATAAAAACGAATACGACGCGAGTGTTCTACGAGCTCTGCACTTGAAAGAAAGAAAAAGTATTTACTGGCCAGACACGCAAATACATATGTAGAAAAAAGACATAACAATGACCAAAAAACAATATTCCTACCATAAGAGCGCTGGTGTTCTGGCAGGGCCTGTACAAGGATGCCAGAGGGATAAAACATTAAAATAATATAAAATTATCAAATGGTATATAAAAAAGGAAGTTCAATGCAAAAATATATAAATATTAAAATGCTTAAACTATGTACATAAAAAATTAAAGTATATTAGCATAATATATTAATAAAGTTACAATGATAATTAGGCCGCATATGCTACTCTTCTCGCCCACCCTGCGAAAGCCGCGTCCGGAGTGTAGTCCCGGAACGCAACCATGCCGGCCCGCCTTGACATTGACAGTGACACTGCACACTGACAATTGATGAGAAATAATTCTCTCTGTAGTGCCACGTAACACGTAAAGAAACACATTGCTACGTACGATGGAACGCCATATTGCCACGTATAAGACAATCTTTGTCGTTTGAAAGACAAGAAACTAAAGACATAGATATTCGGTGTCCAATTATGTCCCACACCCCACTGATGACAGGGCTAAATCTGTCACAGCCACAATTGTGCCGAAACTTTCACTTGAGCACTGGCACTGACGGAGGCTGACCTGTGACAGTGTACGTGACAGACAGCCAGTGCTCACTCAGGCACGCGCTTGCTTGTAGTTGTGAAACGATCGCAGGGCGGTTGTATGAAACTTTGTCTCTGTTCGTCTGGTACTTAATTCCATTATATGTAATTGAATTTCGGGGTAATTTGTAGGGGAGGGGGAGGGGGGGCTCCCCCCGACCCCCCCGCCATAAAAGATTTTTGGCGAAAATGCAGTTTTTTTTTACCTAATCTAAAAATTCATTAAATCTGTTAAATGTAGTGGAATTTCAGGAGGATAGGTATTAGGGAAGACCCCTCAGTGGGAAGGGTCGTTTTTTTTACAGAAATGATAATTATAAAAAAATTGAGAGGTTTTAAAGGTAAAACTGTACTTCCAGGGCCTAGAGGTGATATTTGATTTATTTGTAGAAAAAGTCTCTATTAATGAATTTTTCTTTCTGGCGCTTCGCCGGCCGCTGCCGCGGCACGCTCGCTTCGCTCACTCGGCTCGCGCGTTAAGGTCACAACACTAACCTAACCTAACCTAGTGTGAAGTATCACCACACAAGTGGCTCATTAGAAACAAAACTCGCACTACACTCGACTCTTCAGGCGAAGGGACAGCAGAACTCGAGGTCGAAGGCTTTGAGGATGCCATGGTAGTCAGACGATGTTAATATCAACAGGAGTACGAAAAAGCTCTCAACTGCGACGAACACAAACACTGACTGACAGATCTCATTAATGGCGGTAAATTGTCACATTTTGACAAGAGTACCAACACAATAAACTTATATTTAGCATAGACAACGAGAAACTATGTTATTTTTGCATAAAAAAATGGCAGCACTGATCAAAATTGCTGTCAAAATTGACTCATAACCTACAAAAATATTAATTTTCAATAATTTTTTTCTCGAGTTCTATTCGTTTCCGCCTAAAAAGATTTCGTGTACGTGTTTTTAATAGTTAATACTTTGCGTGACATAAATTTCAGCTTGCAACTCAATTACATATAATGGAAAGCTGAGCCCTCGTTTTTTTTTAACAAGGTAAATACTAGTACTCGTACACTTATGGTAAAGACAACGGGTTACGATGAAAAACAACGTTATCTACCAATGTTTTCATAGATCGCTCGTTTTAATAATTTTATGTTAAATGCAGATTAGTTAAACCGTTGGTCCCGGCTGCATAACACGTTAGAACACACTCGAACCACAATGGACCCGCATGGTAGATCGTGGGTCGTGGCCCTATCTCCCTATTCCATCCAAGGTGCCTTATTATTGAATCGATGCGGTATCGTTTCGTTTTTCGTTTCTGTACCGAATCTGTAACGATTCTTTACCGAGTGCAAGTAATCGGCTGCTGTGGTTCACGTTTAATAGTCCACATAAGGACTAAGAGCGAAAACCATATCCTTTTACACAGAGTGCGCGTCGGTAAAGGCTCGCACTTGATTACATAAGTGAGAGCTTCCTCACTGAGTCGTTTTGGTACAGACTCTTTACCGCCTGCATACACACCTTCCTTTACCGAATCTTATCGAACTGTTAGACGCGCCCGCCCGACGTGACGGCATTATAACAAATGACAAACACCACAGTAGCAAAGAAAACGAAAGGATACCGCACCGAAACCGAGCCAGCCAAGAAGTGGCTCTCTTCTCGGTAAATAAAACTAAAACGTAATGATCTGGTGAGAAGGGTGCCATAGGGAAAGCCTGTGCGCCAGCAGTGGGCTGATAATGATGACACGCGATTGGAGATGAACAGTATTTCGATGACCAGGAAAACGCATACGGTATCTTCAAAGCATGTTTTAAAGAAACAGTGCCATTCGAATCAGAGGATCACTCAACTGATACATCTTTAGAGGGTTTAAAAGTACATACAAATAAATATCTTAATCTAAAAGTGATAATATAATGGGATAATTACCAGTACTACCAGACGTGAAGTATATCAGGCAACCATCCTGAGGACCCACTTCCTTACTGTATTTGGATGCGTCTTGTCTTGCATAGTCTTCTAGCAGACCAGCATAGTTGAATGTTCCACTGTCAATAACACAAACGTGGTGAAAATTTAGACGATTCATAAGATTTTTAGTATGCACCCCATCAGAATAAAGAAGTTTTACTTTGATAAATTCTGTACAAACTTAGTTAAGTACCTAAAGCTTTAGTAACGACTCCACTTTATGAAAGATGCAAAGATATCCTGTTTTTCTACGCTTCCGTCCATCGGAAGTCTTTGGTCCCGATTACATCTGCAACGTGCGTTGTAGGTTATGTATGGTCCATTGTTTCTTTTTCTGCCCAATAAGGCAATGCAAAGCCTATCACGGCCGGATTTAAGGCAGGGCTGTAGCCCAGGGTTCGCAGCAGAGGTTAAAAAAAAATCTATAAGTCACGAACCAGGGAAAGGGTGCATATAGTAAGGGGCCCGGCCCAGATTTAGGGTCTCCACTTCTTCGTTGCCAAAGAGCCTCCACATCCCTAAATTTGGCCCTACAGTGCCCTACATCGCAGGAAATTGCCCACAATCTAAAAAGAGAAAAAGCGATCGTAAGGCAGCCGTACTACATACCTTGATCGCTTCGTCTTTTACACACTTTTATGCCCGTATTTGCTTTACAATTATATAGGTATATGGATGGCTTTCCACGACTATGTTTTTACTCACCCTAAATTTTCTTTAGACGCAGAAATGATCGTTGTCAGTTCCGGGAACAGGTCGGAGGAAATATGACCCGGCTTCTTATCTTGCAGACCCGGGATCAGTTCGCTCAGCTTCCCATAATAATCCCTGGTCGGCAGGTTCTCGCTGATCAGTATACCCTTCACTCCGGTTTTCCTAAGACAGTAGCTTAGCTCGGACTTTTCGTACACTGGATTTATTAATACCTATAACACATTAGACGCTTTATATCAAGACCCTCTCTCTAGTGGAATATTAAAACATCAAAGGTGTCATTGCATGAGATAATCATCTGTAAAAGTATTATTGAGAACCTAATTTCTCATTATTGTTTAGGTCTAAAAATCGAGTAGCGATATATTAGGTCTTTAATATGAAATTGCCATTATTATTGAAATAATATAGTTAACGCACTTTTTTTTCTAAATTTTTATTTTTAATGATTAAAGTAATTACCTATGCAATTAATTCATTTTTTGCCAAGGTACTGGTAGCTTATTGATGCCCTTTTATGATAAAGTCTGCTGGAAGAAAGGCAACAAATTCTCCAAAGGCATTTTGAACTGCCTCATGGTTATTGAATTTTTTCTCCACTTAGAAATTATCCAAAATCTGGAAAAAGTCTATAGGGACAAGGTCTGGTCATTAAGGTGGAAGATGGAGAACTTCCAACCCCAGCTCTTGTAACTTGGAGACCGTCTGCTGTGCAGTTTGAGGTCACGCGTTGTATTGCAGGAGCAGCGGAGCCGAACAACTGACCAAAGCTGGTTGGATATGTGCGAGCTTCTCCATCATTGTGTACAGTTCTTCACAGTAAAAATCTGCAGTAATGCTCACCCCGTTTAGTAAGAAGCTATGATGAATGCCATCGGCGCTAGACCACCAAACAAAGACCATCACTTTTTAGGGGTCATTTTCGTTTGTGCCATTGTTTAGGTACTGAACCAGGATAAAAACCAACTTGTTCAGCGGTTATGATTGTTGAACAGAATCTATTTTTCGTCGCAAGTAACAATGCGATTAAAGATGCCTGAGTTTGTGTGCATCGGGGTTATGTGGGACTCTTCCCCACACCTCCCGCCAGCCCACTCAGCCAACCCTAGGGCTGGCTCAGTGGCTACTCGGAATGGGGGGGCCCATAAAACTCCGGGATGTGCCTTCCTTGCCAGCGGTGGCGGCGTGGGATCCTTACTGGGAATCAACCAAGAACCTAACCTAACCATTTTTTTCACAACGAAATGCTTTACACATACCCTGTTGGGCGGGCAACAGGGTTATGTGGAACTCTTCATATTGGCCTACCCACTAAAACCCTAGGATGTGCCGTCACCGCCGGATGTGACGATGTGGGATCCTTTTTGATTATTAAGAAGCAACCACATCGTCCCATCGAAACGGGCAAACCAATAACGGGTGGTGAGATCATTCGTAGTGTTCTCTTCGTATACGTCGTTGATGTTGCGTACCGCTTCTGCTGCTTTGCTGCTACGACGGTACTCATACTCCATAATGACTCGATTTTTTAACGTATCTATGATGACAAAATACGTATATGCGCTGAAACAGAACGATAATTTATATTTTTGAAATATTGAATTCCAATAAAAAAGAATTCCATATTTTATAAATAAAAATCATTTGAACTTAGAAATCTCAGCGAAAAAAGAAAAAAAATGTACTTAAATATTCAGTACGGCAGAACGGCAATTTCATAGGTAGAGACCTATTATAAGATTTAATCGAGAGAGCAAAGTGTTGATTACCTGCTGTCTGTTTTAAGTAGTAGTAGGGAGCAAAAGCGGGGATTATGGAATTTACGAGAGACTGAACTCCCTATTTACCTACATGGAAGGCCTGTGCCAGCAATGGGGACATCAATAGGCAGACGATGATGATAATATGTTACTCACCGCTATGATACCGGTGCGAGCGGCTGCCATCATCCCCACTACCCAGGCGGCAGTGTTGTGAGACCAGATGGCTAGCCGGTCTCCTTTCTCCAGACCCTGCGCCCTCAGAGCACAACCCAAAGCATCAGCCTGCAATGTTTTACCTAATTATTAGTTTAATAATTAATAGGCTAATGCCTGCTCCCGCGATATCGTCGACGTTAACTTCAAATTTTCGCAAATTGGTTGGGATTTGAACTTAGGCTGCCCGCTTACCAGGCGAGCTTTCTACTACTGAACCATCCATTTTGAGGCTTGTTGATAAAATCAGTTTTTTTATAACATTCAAAAATATAATGCGACATGCTAAAGATGAATGAAAAATCTTATTGCGAAAGTGTTGTAATAAAAGTGTCACTTTAATATGTTGCATTCGCATATTACTATGAGTAGTTTAGATTATTGGTCTTCCTGCGGTCGATCGAAGGAAGACCAATCATTTACCTTAGATATGTAGGATAAAAAGTACATAATTTTCCTGTTCTATCGAATTAATACCATCAACGATGAAGATGCGACTGATTATTTAAGTAGTTTCGTTTGTGTAAGTTAATGGGGATTTGGTGAAAGGGGGAGTATCGTATTATGCCTAGTTTTAATTTGCCTTGTAATTGCGAAAGATCAACAAAGATGGAATGCTCAGGTAAAATACCCTAAAATTTAATTATACATAGGCCAAAGCTTAATTTCACTTGAAATTACTACATTCAGTAAGGTTTCATGGCATCGTGGGATAGGGGATTGGGTCCAAGGCGGCAAAGTGAGGATAGTTGGAGAATTGTCGAAGACGAACATCGGTAGACGAACATCAGATTATATAGCTATACAGAAATAAGTTCAATGGAGCCATGGAAACATCGGGGCTCGACAGTAAATAGCCGGGAAATTATATTCCATCCATATCCAATATACACGTGTGCCTGTATGTTTATTGGAGAGTCTTCAAATTTATCAAGTCTTTTATGGACCACCATGGTCCATAAAAGACAACATATTCTAGTAATTCTTAGATTTACAAATATAACAACAAAAAGAATAACATAAAACAATATCCAAAATATAAGTCAAGGATTAGCACTACTAGACAGTCTTACTTGAGTTAAAAGCTGATCATATGTGAGCGACAAGTCTTCGTACACAGATCTCAATGCTATGCGGTCGGGGTACCGGTTGACTGTGTACACCAGCTGCTCGGAGAGAGTGGTGTGGGCCAGGGGTTCGGAGCCCGGGTGGTGCAAGTAGCTCTCGTTTGAAGGGGCGTGAAGCAACCGGGCGAATCTGAGGGAAGGAGTACGAAAAAGGGCATTTGCTAATCTGTGGTAGTTTTCTTTATAAATTCGAATAGTTTTACTATTTATTTAAGTTATATAAAAAACAATATAGGTTCCAGTTCCACCCGGATAGCGGAAGTTGCTGTTTCGAATACCGTTTGAAATCTCGATATTTTTCGTCATCCGTCCGTAATATAAAAAAAAAATACGCCACAGTTGTGTGAGCAAATGCTCATAACTTGACCAAAACTTGGTTTTGATTGCGTCGTTGTTCTCGGGTGTAAGCGCTGATTGGTTCGGTTGTTTGATGTCGTTTGATTGGCTATCATCTATTAGTTGGAAGTGTAGTACCAGCGAGCCGGCGACATAGGTTCCCGTACAAACGGTCTCTGACCTAACCTAACCACTTTCTGTGTTCTGGGACCCGTAGTTATACCTACTGTTTATTTATTTATTTATTTAAACTTTATTGCAAAATTACAAAGCAAATGGCGGACATATTGCCATAAGGCATTCTCTACTAGTCGACCAGTAAGAGCGTGAGAAAAAACTAATATGACGGGGGCGCAATAAAGACAAACTTAAGATAAACCAATGATACAAATACTCTTAACAGAATACATACATATTATACACACATATATATATATATATACATATACACACACATACATATATACAATACATACATAGGTAAGTACATGATTATGTCAGTCAAATATGAGAACGCTGTTTAATGCTATTGAGATAGTGCTCACGAAAATCCCTTAACTATACTGTTAATTTTAATTAGCCTTTTAATACTCCATTATGGAGTTGTGAGAAGGAAAAAAATTACGTATTAAAATATTCATTTAATTCAGGAATTTATTGAGTGCAAACTTGTTTTATGCATTGTTAATAAGACAAGTATAAATTACTGCCGAGTCTAAAATTAGTCACCATTCGACAGCATTGGCTCTTTGTGGTTACTTTCAATGCTGTTAATTACACATTAATCACACTAGCATTATAAAGGTAAAAGTTTGTGAGTGTGTATGTTTGTTACTTCTTCAAGTCTAAACGGCTGGAGCGATTTCAATAATATTTGGCATGGAGTTAGCTGACACCCTGGATTAACACATAGGCTACGTTTTACTGCGGAAAAATAACCCTAATAAACCGCGGATAACACCGCGGGGCACAGCTAGAAAGTAATAATGCACGAAAAATTAAGTGCAAACTTCTCGAGAAAAACTATACTTGCGCAGTAGACGTTTTTGTACGCAAAATTGCTTCTGCGCAGGCTCCTTTGTTTATGGTTTTAGCTGTAGAAATTTGCCGAGATGTACACTTTAAAATCGTGCCGCAATGATTTTATAGCGAAGTGAGCTAGGTTTAACACACCAAGTTTAAAAAAAGACTGCAATATTGCAAGAAATAGGCATTAGAATATGATATCGGTTTTTAATGTTTAATATATAAATAGTCATCAATAGCCTATTAATGCCTATGCCCCAGCTGTGGGGGACTGCTGGGGCACAGGCCTTCCCTATCGATGGTATAGAGAAATTGGATCATGACCCACTACGCGGGCCCAGTGCAGATTGGTGGGTGCTAACGACTACAGATGCAGCCGGGACCAGTGGCTTAACGTGCTTTCCGAAGCACGGAGGGGTTCAAAATAGTTCATTTTTGTTCTTCAATCCAATGAATGACCACTGCGAAGGCTGTGGTTAAAATTGTGTAAAAACATAAAAGTATGTAAATACTTATAAATAATCAATCTCTCCAGTCGCCTTAATAATTAATTGTATTTTCACTATTGTTGTCTAATTGTTTCTTATCTTGTGTTATGTTACTATATGATACTGCATTGTTGATAACACCTGTCATAACATTCAGAATAAACTATTATTATAACTAACATTATTTTATTTTAGTCTTGTAATTGCACACCTCCTCTTTAATTAAAATTCGTCTCTCCATCCTATGGTTGTCTGGAAGAAATGGCTACGTAGCCATAGGACCACCAATTGTCCACGTATTTAAATTAATGTCCAAACTTTGTACTTTATAATGTGGGGTGTTCAATAAAGTATTATCTATCTATCTATAACAAAAATCCTATTCATTATTCAAAGTACCTATTCAATGAACGTATTGGTAAGTACATGATTTTATCAACATGTTACTTACTAGTACTTCTATTATATGATGATGAGTTTCATGCGTCCATTATTTTTATCAGCTAAAAGGCGTCCTGCATAGTTGGTAGGGAAAAATATTGGCGATTTCCTATAAGTCAGTTCGAATACAATATAATTTCATTCCATTGCTGAATTCTCATTAATAATAAACAATATGTGCAGGTGCTTTGAGAAACTTTGAAATACCTCTCACCTCAAATTGTTACATCCGTTCAATGTTTTGTTTACGGCAGAAGCACAAGATTTCCACATGTTTGTATACAACATTCACAACTGTGTCACAGAGCGGTCAGCTGAGAACTGGTTCGTTCCCTACAATTACAATTAATCAACCAAGCCAAAGAGACGTAAATATTTATCGGCTTATCATGCATTGTGTGTTAACGGCCCTATCTATATCCCCTTTCATAATGTTTAGTTTATTTATATAGTTGTACTTACAAATTGATATGGTTATAAGATAGCTTGCAAACATCAATACTTTGTTCAGAAATTAATGTATTACATGACAAACATCAGTGTGCTTTAGGTTTCAAAGGTTTGATCACTGAACAGCTTTCGATAAATTTTGTTATGAATTGGACCTTGACGAAGGACGTACTATATGCTAAATTCTGTCACGAAATTAAAGTTAAATTTAAAATATTGTTTCATAAATTGGATACATAATACATCTCTTTGAAACGTCCAATTTTTTTACCAAAACAGTTAAAAAATATATTTTTGCTGTGGAGAAAAATACTTGAAAAGAACTCCAAAACATGTTGTGTAAAAAGCAACGACTTTTATAAAGATTCTACCCAAACCGACTTATGTCAATACATTATAAATACCTAACTCAGATTAAACTTAAATATTTTTGTCTATACAAAATGAAGCAATTTATTGAAATAGTTTTTAATTTATTATTTATTTATTTAGAGTCAATTCTTGAATATTTCCGGGGACTTTATTGTGTATGTTAATCCTCTGACGATGTTTTCATCATGTTGACCTTTCGAGTTGTTTGCTATCTGAAAAAACCCAGTGACTGTATTTGCAATTGGTTTCATACTAACTGAATGTGTTTGAAATACATTCTGTGTACTAAGGATCGGGAGTTTTTCAATAAAACAAAAAAATACAAATTATTTTTCTTAACTTCCCAAGTTAAAATTAACACTTAAATTTCTCAATTTAAGTGTTAATTTTAACTTGGGAAATAAAAAAAATGTCAGACGGAACCATATCAGGTGAATACAGTGCTTGGTCGAGAACTTTTGTTGAATTTTTCGGTAAACTCTCTTTCACAATAATGGCTGTGTGTGATGGTGCATTAGCATAGTGCAGCATCCATGAGTTGTGATGCCACAAATCTGGACACTATCATTTTAGTTTTATTCACTATCTTTCCCTCTGAAAGGAATTCGGAGTGAACCACACCACGGTAGTAAAAAAAATCTGTCAGCATCACCTTGATTTTGGAGCGACTTTGCCGCGGTTTTTTGGGTTTCGACTCGTTATCTCGCCATTCTGAAGACTGTTGGTTTGTTTGCATATCGTACTCATAAACCCATGTCTCGTTGCCAGTAATTATACGTTTCATAAAGGTAGGATCCGTAGAAGCTCGGAAAACCATGTCTTTAGCGACATGCTTTCGCTGCGCTTTTTGTACAAAATTGAGCATGAGACGCGTTTCATGCCTAAAATGTCAATGAGAATGTTGTGGACGGACTTAAAAGATATGTTCACCTCACAGGCCAACTGTCTCAGACTCATACATCGATTTTCAAGCACTAGCTTCATGATTCTGTCGATGTTGTCTTGGTTGTAGCGGTTGAAAGTCTACCAGAACGAGGCAAGTCTACTACTACTTCTCGGCCTTCTTTAAAAGCCTTATACCATTTATATGCCCTTGTTTTTGATATGCACGATTCGCAGTAGGTATTTTGCAACAATTTTAGCGATTCATCACAAGAAACACAAAATTTAAGGCACACTCTTTATTCAATAATATTTTCCATTCTAAAAAATACCGAGCACTCAAAACTATGACCAACAAAAAGTGCAGTTTTAAACAAATTAAATGACAGATCCCGCTCCAATTTGGCGCGGTAAATTAGTACAGTACTACACAGTAAAAAACACGCAGTAAAAAAATTAAAGCGACCTCTTTTATGCGGGTCTTTTTATTGATATATTCGCGATACTTTCTACATAGATAAGTATATATGGCAGATCACAATATACATATTAGTATTGTACATACACACATTAAAAAAGTTTGAGATCACTTGCAAAAGCTGATATATTTTCAAAATTTAATTAATCAAGAGAAAATGTTTATGTTATATCTGCGTTTTTGTCGAAATTTTTTACCACGTACGTTGTTGTCGCCAGCAGTGTTTCCGGACCAATACGACCCAAAAACCTTCAAAAAAAGAGCGTACTCCTTCCTTAAAGGCCGGCATCGCATTTGTGATACTCCTGGTGTTGCAAGTGTCCATGGGCGACGGTGATCACTTTTCATCAGGTGAGCCGTCTGCTCGTATGCCCCCTATAACATAATAAAACTTTTTTTTTAAATACACTGAAATAAAACAATTTTTATTTTTTATTATAAAAAAAATAATGTTTCGATCCTCTTCGTCTTCTTCGTTTTGCCGGAGCCTAGCCCACTGTAATCTCCGTTGCTGACGTTCCCGTGAATTCAAAGGTGCTCGCCAAGACCTCCGTGCTCGTAATCCAGCCTTGTGTAAGCAATTCCGAATGGTCTGAGTGCTAACTTCAAGTCCGCAGGCGGCCCGTATTTCTGCTTTTAATTTAGTGGCGTTTATTGTTGATTCGCGGGCTACCAGCAACATGATGTAGCGCTTCTGAGAAGCTGTCAAAACAGTTGGGCGACCGTTACGGGGTCGATCAGCTAAATTACCCATGCCGTGGTACCTCTGCAACGTGGTTACTACACAGGATTGGAATATGGCAACTCTACGTGCTAATTTTTCTCGTAGAATAGCCTTCTTCCCTCATAGTTACAATTTTATCTCGTAAAATATCTGATAATCTTCGTGGCATTTTTGAAATCACAACTTTCCGTGAAAAAATATTTAAATTCGATAATATTGACTAATATAAGTAAAATTTCTGAATGAGTGTCAGCTTGGATTGCATGTCTTTTTATACGGAAAAACAATTGAACTATTTTATTGTTTTACGTTCTAATTCTAATTTTAAAATTTTGAATCTTATCTGAAAAAGAAATTACTTACATAAAAGTCTTCTGTAAGACAAAAACAATCTATTTATTAAAGTGATTGCAAACCTTTTTGATGTGTGTATGTATCTAAGTATAAAAAATTAAAATTAAAAAAAAACTTTTTTAAATCAAGCTTTTATTTAAATGCGCTAAAAAGAATAAAATATTTTCTCCTTCAAAACTTTTACTATGAACTGATAACGTTATTACACAATTTATATAATATAAAAGCTTGTCGCGAGATTTACCTGTGTAGATAAACAACATTTGATCGGATTGATTGATTTTTTTATAAATGTTGATATTGTAACTACCAGAACCTACTTAAATATGGCAACAAGCGTTTATATTTTATATAAATTGTGTAATATCGTTATAAGTTCATAGTATAAGTGTTAAGAACTCCTTTTGATACTTATATTTCTTTATTTATGGTTTGTTATGTTATGACGTTGATAGTTGATGACAAAAGAAAATATATGATTACTTGAAAAGTAAAAGATTATTTTATTATTTTAATTATCAACATTGTTGTGGTCCTTCGAGCCGGATATGTTTCCTCGATCACTAGAAATATACCGGAACTTAGCTATCACGTACGACATATAAATGCAGATGACGATCTACACGAACTCGTTAAGGATTACTTTCGTATAGACAGCATTGGTGTTAAATATTCAAATAACTGCGGTAACAAACACACACAAGAAGAAGAACGTGCATTACTCATACTCAATACAAAATCAAACAAGCTTGAAAATAGATGGGAAGCAGGTCTTCTATGGCGATCTGACGATGTCAAGCTGCCCAACAATAAGAAAAACGCTATGCAACGATTAATGATGATGGAGAAAATTATGGATAATGATTCTAGTTTTGCATGAAACAAATGAAACAAATAAATACGATGCTTGAAAATGGTTACGCGGAGGAGGTAAAAGAGAAAATTTCTGGGGATAGGATTTGGTATCTGCCTCACTTCGGCGTACGTAACCCTAACAAGCCAGGGAAATTACGTGTAGTGTTTGACGCTCGAGCAGAGACCAAAGGTATTTCGTTAAATACGGAGTTATTATCTGGACCGGACTTACTGAATTCATTGGTTGGTGTATTGTTACGTTTCAGAGAGCGAGCTGTAGCTGTAAGTGGAGATATAAAGGAAATGTTCTTAAGGGTGAAAATAATTGAAGAAGACCAAAAATCACAGATGTTTTTATGGCGTGGATTAGACAGAAATGGACCACCCCGTGAGTACAAAGTGACATCTATGACTTTCGGAGCAAAATCCTCACCCTGCACTGCTACTTACATCTTACGCAGGAATGCAGAGATGTTTTCTGAGACTCATCCCAGAGCTGTTTTAGCAATAAAAAGGCGGCATTATGTTGACGATTATCTTGACTCAGTTGATACAGAACAAGAAATGAAACAGCTGATTGCAGATGTTGTAAATATCCATCGTAGCGGAGGATTTGAAATTAGAGGGTTTGTGACAAACAAACGAAATTGCTTACCTGATGATCTGCAAAAGGACACCGTCAATCTTCTTGAAAGTTCTACCGTGCAGAGAACTTTAGGCATTATATGGAGACCACATACTGATCAACTGGGGTTTGATCTAAGCCTTAAAAAGTTAAGCTCTGGAGTAGCGAATGGTACACAAAGTCCGACCAAAAGAGACATGCTCAAAGTAATTATGTCTATCTTTGACCCCTTGGGATTCTTGAGTCCCCTTTTGATCAGAGGGAAGATTTTACTACAAGATGTATGGCGTAGTGGTGTACAGTGGGATGAAGAGATTGGAGAAAAATTTGCTAAGATTTGGTTTACCTGGTTACAGGACTTGAAGACCTCTCAAAATTTTTATGTACCTCGTTGTTACAGTTTTAGTCAGTTAGATGCCTTTCAATGCGATGGTTACCTGGACACTTAAATGTTGCAGATGAGGCAACTCGGGCGAAGAGAAAGACTGAATCCCTTTGGATCATGGGACCAAATTTTCTTCGATATGATAAGT